ATTTCTAATTTTGTTGTAGAGAGAGTATAAGCAATAATAGGAAGGAACAAGAGTTTTTGCTGGTTGAGATAAGGATAGCTATACAGGGAGTTGACTAACATTGATTTCCTGTGCGTGGGTGTTACCTTCTAGGTTAATTCTTTTTGATCTAACCTTTTCTCTAGTACATTTTCATTTCCAGTCCAGATTAGTATTTTGTTCAAAATAATGACTGAACCTTTTCAGAATCCTAAAATTTCAGTGAAAAATTCTGTTACATTTTATGTAATGGACATTAGGAAGTAAGACAATGGAAACGATAGAAAGGTTTTCAACAAGGGTTTGAGTTCAAACAGTGGTTCTCCAACTTTAGCATGCATCAGAAGAGCCTTATAAAACACAGAATGCTGAACTCCATTCACAAAGTTTTCAATTCAACAGGTCTGAGATGTGTATGAAATTTTTATTTTCTAATAAGTTCATAAGTGATGCTCATCCTGCTGGTCTGAGCACTACACTAAGAATCACCAATTTAGAGATCTTCATGTTTTTTATTTTCTTGTTAACATGAATCCTCTATTTTCTGACAATTCCAGCTGAGATTTTATTAAATATTGCTGCACAATTTTAATGATTACTATTTTTTATTTTTTGCATACACCATTTGTATTTTCATATATCTTTACTTACAAGTGTTTTCCTCTTGACAGTATGGCAAACTATGAGAAATGTTGCAGTCTTCTTATTGGATATATATTATTAGTACTCAATTCATTCAGTCATTCAACATACATTCATTGAAAACCATTTATTTGCCAGGCATTCTACTAGATGCTGGGGATACAACAGTAAGCTGAATAGATATGCTCCTGGCCCATTGGAGCTTATAGTCTATTTGCAAAGACCAGTGTCAATCATACAGTCACACAAATGTACAATTAGAAGGAAAAAAACATGGTTCTATGAGGGTGAATAACAAAAATAAACTAAATTAAACTTGGGAATGAGAAACTCTTCCTTAAGGAAATAAAAGCATGAAGGATGAGTAGGAACTTAAGGCATAAATACACTTTATTGTCCATATAAATCAGAAAAAACAAATAGGAAGTAAGCAAAAAGAAAAATCACCACTTACAAATCATATGTGCCAGGCACTGTGCTTATAAAGCCAGGAAAATGATTGTGAATGCCACACATTCTTTTTATAATCAAGCTCTTTGAACTTCCATAATATTAGCAAGGTATTTCTGGGTTCATTTTAGGAGAATGGCTTTAATTCAGGTTACTCATGGTTCAAAACGAGCACCTTATTCTTTCCTTACCACAGTGTATATGCTGTGCCCATTTAATATAGAGTTAGCTCTTAATTCCCTACATGAAAATCAACTGTTTGTAGTTTAAGTGTTTAGCTTCCTCCTCTCTTCTGGTGACAGTATACTCAGGACAAAGGCATGCAGTAATATCTGTGGTAAACAACTGTAATTTAAGGGGGTAGTTTTCTGAAAGGAAAATATTAACATCTACCTTATTAAAAGAGATAAGGTAGTTAATTTTTAATATTCAGTATTGGAGTTTATCCTTTTACTTTCATTTATCTATAGTGTCCATTAATTGTCTATGGATAAAAAACATGCTTTGCTTTTTTGACAAAGCAGTTTTGATGTGAGCAGTGATGCAGATACCTGCACTTAAAGGAAAGTTTATTAAGTCACGCTGCTCTGTCCAACAGTTAGCTAATACTATCTGGGAGGAAATTTACTAGTTGGTTACTCAATTGATTGGTGGCAAAAATTTTTTGGACAAATTCTGTGTATGAATGTAATAAAATCAAAATGAAATACTACAAATATGTTAACTTTAAAATAGGTTTTCCTTAGCAGTAATCCCATTTGGAAGAAATTATCCTATAGAAATTCAACTGACAGCTTCCCCTTGGGAAAACATAATCTGGAATTTGAAAATATAAACAAAACTATGGAAACCAAACCTAGTCTTAGACATTCCATTTTCTACTTTTCCACCTCCAACCAAACTGTTCATTCAAATATTTTTTCTTTCCACTCCAACCATCACCCAGGCTAGTCCCCTGCACAAGATCTTTTCCAAGGGCATTTATTCATTGTGTTTTCCATAAACCAAATGTTCTTCCTTCTAATCATATCAAAGCAATTCCTATGATTCAATGATTAACTCAAATCCCTCATCTTGGTTACATATCCCTGGTGTGGTACCTGGCTTCCATCCTCCACAAATTCTTTCTAATTCTACTAGTCTTTGGAGTCTTCCAAGATACAATTAAGACAGTGTTTTCAGTGCCGTAGTCTCTAAACATTACATATAAATACAAGCAATATAGACTGGAACTCTCCAGGTATTTTCAGAGAATTATTTTCTATGCTTTTATACTCTCATGGCTTCCTTGCAGATGGTGATGGAGCTATGTGCAGCAGGCTCAGTCACTGATGTAGTGAGGATGACAAGAAATCAGAGTTTAAAAGAAGATTGGATTGCTTATATCTGCCGAGAAATCCTTCAGGTGAGTCTTCATATAATCCTTATCCCCTGGTCTTGAAAGAACTTGGTAATAATACATACAATACACCTTATTTTTCATATCCAAATATAAATTCTAGATCAGGGAACCCAAAAAGGCCAAAAATATTGGAGAAAACATATGCTTAGGTGATATCCTTCAACTTCAAGATAGATCACAAGACTGGATAACCAAATCTTTCCAAATCATAGCCTTTCATGACTGTCACGTTCGCTCTACTATGTTCAATGGATAATGGAAATGACCACTTGGAGCTAGGTGCCAGTGGCTCATATTTGTAATCAGAGCTACTTGGGAGGCTGAAATCTGGAGGATTGTGGCTCAAGGCCTGTCCAAGCAAGTAGTTTGTGAGACCCCATCTGCAAGATACCAGAGCAAAATGGATTGAAGTTATGGCTCAAGTGGTAGAATGCCTGTTTCGCAAGCACGAAGCCCTAAATTGAAACAGTAGTCCAACCAACCACCCAAAGAAAGAAAGGAAATAACCACTGGATTACCTTTTATGTTATTATGAATTTTAGAGTTCTTAAAAAAAGAGGCATAGTCATATCATCACAGATTATAATGAAGATGAGTCAGTATTCTAGAAAATGGCCACAAACTATCTGAAATAATTTTTCAGACACATAATCCTCTTTAAATACTGCATCACCTTTTAAATTTCCTACACCCAACTGGGTGAGAGCAACAATATAATTAATGTACCAAACTCACATTTTTCTTTGTTGTTTAGTGCTTAGGCCTACCCAAGAAGGATATTAGCAGAAGTGAACAGGACCTCTGAACGTTGATAGAATGTCCTTCCCCCATTTGATTGGATTCCTTTGTGATAATAGCAGAAATGGTTAAGAGTGAAAATTCTAAACTAAGTATAAATTCCAATTTAGCATGGAATTTACACTGTTTAGCTGTGTGACTTTCAGTCAATTACTTGATTTTTCTAAGTCTCACTTTCCTCATGTGTAATGTGTTGTGATATTTGTACCTTCCTCAAAGAGTTGCTGTGAGAATTTAGTAAATTACTGCATTTAAAGTACTTAGCACAATGCCTAGTAAAGAATAAGGGCTCAATAAGTATTAGCTGTTTTATTGTTACTTCTATTATTAATCCCCAGTTGGTGTTAGGAGCAATCTCACCGCAGCCTAACACTTCCTACCATGTCATGGTTTAACCAGGTCACGGGTTAGGTTTAATGGTGAATGGGCTAGAGCCAACATAGCAAGCCAACACAAATTGCAAATGCTTTAAAATGAATTTCCATAATCCCTCAACTTCTCAGCCTACAAGGCTGACTAGAAATTATTTTGGACTAAACAAATGGTTGGAAGAGAAATAAAACAAAACAATGGCTGAGCTATGATATAGTTAAGATGTCCAGGTCTTTATTGTTATGGTTAGTTGGAAATATGGAAGTTAGAAAGGAAGGTAAAGTGGCCCAATGTATACAAATATTACTTTTTGGTGTTCTTTTTCTTTCATGGGTGTCCTGATTTATTTTCCTTTTCTTATAGCCAAAAGTAGTATTTCTGGGAACTGGTTGAAGTCATTCCAGCCTAAAGAAAGAATTTTGTCTGAAAGATCAAATGTGGGCCATTTTTCTTACCAAAAGTTTTTCCAAAAATACTAAGAGCAGTACCAGAAAAGAGAAATATTTATATACTGATGTAGCTTTTTTAATGTGCATATATATATATATATATACATACAGGGATTAGCACATCTTCATGCACACCGAGTAATTCATCGGGACATCAAAGGTCAGAATGTACTACTGACTCATAACGCTGAAGTAAAACTTGGTAAGTTTATTCTTTCCATATGCTAGATAGGGCCTAAAGCATCTTTTTGTCGTGGTATTTATCATGTGATTGCCAACATCTTTTACTTATTTGAGGTGGGTCTTCCCTGCCTACAAAACCAGTTAAAGTTGGAAATTTGCTTTTGAGTGGAAGTAGGGCAAGACAAAAAGGATGTACCTTATGAATTATTTGAAACTATGTAGTTAAAACAATTTCAAATTATAATGGTGCCTACTTTCTGGTCATTGCCTTACATTCTATCACAGATAGCTATTATATTTTTATTTCAACAATTGAGTTGAGAATTTATCATATGCAAGTTTGTGTGTTATGGACAAGGGTTAAAAAATAAAATTATTACACACCACAGAGCCATATTTTCCCAAGAATATCAAAGAACTTTTAAACTACTTATACACAAATTGCTTCTTTGCAATTTTCCCTCAAATATTTAAAGAAATAATGTGGATCAAAAGTGATGCTCCAAAATATCCAAATCAAATTCAGAATTTGAAGTGAAAGGAACAGAAAATCCATTGCTTTCTATTCCAGAGGTTTAGAGTGGCATAGTTTATTGGAAAATAATTACATATGTTATATCACAGGTACACAAGGAAAAATGTATTGTACCTTTTAGTATTTATTTGGCTTTTAAATAATGCTATATAAATTATGTCACTACTATACAATGGCAGATAACCACATTGATATAGAACATAAATCATTTGTATTATTTTAATTAAATCAACTCTTTTTAAAACATGTCTCTTAACATGACTTTAAGATATTTCCCACTTTCTTGCTAACCAAATAGAACTAAAGTAGAGATTTTGATCATTCATTTTGAACATTTTTTACTGTACATTTGTAAGAGAAGTTTGAGGTAGTAATTGTTTGTTTTTGAAATAAGTGAAAGAAATTTCATGAAAATGTATTATCTCTTTTGTATCTAAAAGCCACAAACCTGGAAATACAATTTTAAGAAACAACATTAAAATACATGAGAAGCATGTAGATTTCTAATTCAGCTGTATAGAATAGGCAGTCCACCATAAGACTAAAGACTGTGTTCACATATAGAGCAGCACTCCCTTATACTTGAGTCAAGTTGCTAGCCAAACCTACCATTTGCAACACAGAAAATAAATTGTAAATAAGTAAAAAGTCACTGAAGTGTTTGCCACAAAACTCATGTACTGAAGTTAATGTACTTTGAAAGAAAAACCTTTTAGTGCTAGAGTAGAATTTAATCAGGCTTATTTTGTGCATAATTGTTAAACAATTATTTTTAAGTATCATGAGAAGATTGCAGAAGACAAATCTAATGATAGCCAAAGGAAGTGACAGCAAAAAAAGAGGAAAATGATTATGTTGTGATTACAATTAATCAATAACCTTCATATTCCAGTTCTTTACATCATTTTAGAAAAGATTAAATTATGCCATTTTTGAGGTTTAAATTCTACCTTTTATTGTAATTTCAGCCTTTATTTCTCTATTTATCACTTTCTTGTAGTCTTTTCTTCTTTCATTTTCTTCTCTGGACATATGTCATATATCAGTTTATGACCTTCAAAGTTATTTCTTGGCACTTGAAGTTGGCCATCAGAAATAGTGGGAATGCAGAGCTCTTATTTTACCTAGTTCTTTTTTTAAAAAAATGTCTGGATAATGAGATTGTGCAACACCCAATGGTGATCTTCATGATACTTTGGATACTTTTTTTGTTCTTGTTAAATCCTTTCTGAAAGACTGCCTTAAACTAGTAGCTTTTCCTTTCTTCCCCTAAATTCTTCAAACTACTTTTCAGTCAATTCTGTTTGCCATCCTCTAGATTCCTGGAAACCATTCTAAATTAGAAAATCTACTTCATTTTTCATCCCTGCCTTATTTTTTCTGGAATAAATAGCACCAGTCTACTTTAGCCTTTTTTCTGTCTGTTTCTGAGGATACCACACTAAATATTTTCTTATAATGTATCCCACAGATGAATAGGAAACTGAACTTTTATAGCTTAAGCTAAAATATAGATGCCACAGTAAATATTTGCATCTGGTTAAGAAGATCTGTGTAAGAATTTTAAATTCTGCCAGAAAACTCATTTTTTATCACTGTGATAGGAAGCTCTAATGTCGTGAGCGAGGCTTCTTAATCAACTGCTAATAGGGTTTATATTTCTTAGTTGTTGCTTATGGTGCTTTCCTTCAGTTTGGTGGCAGGCCCAAACACTACATATGTTATCACTTCAGAGGTTCAGGGTGTACCGATGGAACTTTATTTTTAATATTCATGGTAAACATTCAGCCAAACCTACTGTAGATTTATAATCACACTGTTGAGTCTCATTCCAACATAAATAGCAGAAAAAGGTTATTTCCCAGTATTCCTGGGGTAGACCTCATGGTAAAGTTTGCTCTGCTGGAATGAAAATCTGTTATCCATTGTGGCTTTTGTATTAGCTTTCCAAGTTAAAGTAATAACTTATTGAGCTTTTTGTTCCTGATTAATTATTTTGACATATGCTGAATTTTGTAGTGGATTTTGGAGTGAGTGCCCAGGTGAGCAGAACTAATGGAAGGAGAAATAGCTTCATTGGGACACCATACTGGATGGCACCTGAGGTGATTAACTGTGATGAGGACCCAAGGCGCTCCTATGATTACAGAGTGAGTGTGAGGCTTCAAACAGTTGGAATCATTTAGAAAGTATTTTGACTAACATTTATTTTAATGATAAAATAAAAGAATAAAAGCAAGCAGCCTTCCTTTCACATTAATTCTAATAGGAAATACTAGCCTCTATTCTTATATGTGGTTTGATAGTATGCATATTTTCTAAGAATGTAGACATAGTAGACCTTTGAGAGTTATTAAGATTTGAAGTAGAATATCTAGTTCATGTTGCTTGCAACTTATTGGTAAAGATGGGCTTTATTTGGAAATTTAATTTCCAGGGACAGAGATTTTTATAAACTTAAAAATTAATAAATGTAAATCCAATAATCAATCTCCACAATAACTTAAATCCAAAAAGAAAAAATAATTGATTGCTTTGGGTAATGGAGAAAATCCTTGGTGCATGGTTCACCTCGAAAACCACAGAAAATCATTGGAAAAGATGAATTAAGTAACAATTTATGCTATTTATTAAAGTTTCCACTGAAGCTGAAATTTGGACAATATACATCTATGTACACTTTTTAAAAGCTGATGTGGAAAGATAAAACTCTCCATTTGCTATAGACTGGAAAACTTCACTTACTCTCCACATCATAAGTCATCCAAACAATTTGTTGTGGTCTCCTGAGTGGAATCTAGGACTCAATACTTGAGGTTGATTAAGTTTCATCTCTTTTCCAGTTCCGTAAATGCCCTTTGCTTGATCTGCAAAATAATTATTTACTGAGAGCCTATGACATGTTCTGTGCTATATTAAGAACTATAGAGACTATGGAAGCATAAATTATCATGTTGTAAAAATAGTGCTTTAAACGTACATTTTTGCACTCTTCTAAAAACTTTCACCTGTATTAGTTATTTTTGTTTTTTTATCCCCATGTAATAGAAAGAAAGCTTTATCTTAGACTATTGAAAGAATTGAAGCTAAGAGATTGATAAACTGGGTATCCAAAACTTAAATTAATATGAATCATTCAGTCAGTGTTCCTCTAGCCCTTATGCCCTTTCCATGCTCTGAAAAATAAGTGCAGTTAATAATGATGAAGATAATTCTAAAAGCTTTGTGATAATTCTAGCTTCAGTTACTGTATTGCAGGACATACAGAAATGTATATATATTTATATACATGAATAAATTTCATAATGTATATTCATAATGTATATATAAAATATAAATTGATGCTTAATATATAAATTATTAAATGTGTTTTTATGTTTAATATAAATGTAGACTATATTTATATACATTAAATGTGTATATATGTATATACAGACAAACATGCACACCAAGGTGCTATTATAAGTCCCATTTTACATAGAATGAAATTGAGGTAGAGAGAGTTATATCATTTGCCCATGATCATACAGCTGTGGGTCTATGTGTTAAGACTTCTTTATGGTATGTTCCTTTTGGTGTTTCAGGTAAGGCAACAATAGCAGTACATCCAAGACAAACTTTCCTTTCACTGAACCTCATTCCATATCAACTTACTGTATAGTGAGGTACTGGCAGGTTATAAGCTGAGATAATATCAATATTATATAATGTCCATCTATATTAAAACTTTGTTATAGAAAGCCTATAAAATTACTCTGGCATTGACACCCCTACTATCAGCCAAAGATTGTTTTGAAATTCTTAATACTTATGATTTACTTTTTTAAGTGATTTTTTGTCACCTTTTGCTTTGCAGAGTGATGTGTGGTCTGTGGGAATCACTGCTATTGAAATGGCTGAAGGGGCTCCTCGTAAGTAAAAATGTCTGGTTATTTTTGGTATTTGTCAAAAGTTAGGAAAATGTACTGTACAAATCTATCTCTCTGGAAGATGATGAGACTGCCTCTTATACCGAGCAGCTTTTACTGGTCACACAAATGTCACCATATGTATTAACCCATAAATGGTGGCCTGCTCAGTGATTACTAAATGCTTTTGTCAGAATCATAAGATTTAGATATATAAGGACAACTTATGCTTTTATCTTCCTTATGATACCTTATTTTAGGTTGACTGAGTAATATTTTAATTTGGCCTCAGTATTATTTGGTCCTGGCAATCCTGAGAAAGAATTCAAAGGCATTCCGATTTATATTGACTAGTGGAATATTTAGGTTCAAGAACATCTATGGACACACGCTACTACTGCTTTATGATAGGATAGTTGAGAAAGTCTCCCAGTAGTTCATTGAAATTGAACCAATTTTCAGCAATGTTCCAAATTAAGCATTCCTCCCACACACACCTTTGGAGTCAATCCAGAACACCTTTGGTGACTTATTTGCTCCCTTCAGCCACCCCAATGCCCTTAACTATTTCCTCTTGCATTCCCTACTTCCCCTTCATTTAAATGACCTAGTGGGAGGGATCCTCTTCTCTCATGTTTTTCTTATAGGAAAATGAAAATAGAATGTGAACTTGGGTATAAATCACTGATATCCATCATAATGTATGGTTCCATAGCACATTTGCTGGCTTTAATATTTAAATCCAGATATATAAATGATAATGCATTCCTTGTAATGTTGTGTGAGAAGTGAGAGAAATGCCTTCAGGCATGTTTGTTATTTTCTTTCCCAGCAGTCTTTTTATATGTTTTCATGTTCCTGTACAGCAGCCACTCACCAAACTTTATAAAGTTGAACTATATTAGCATTGTTTCACAAGACCAGTGACAGGGAAAGCAAGGAGTAGAAATGGTAACAGAATTCAAACTTTTGGTGTCCCCTGTGATACCAACCAATGAGGGGCTGAAATAAAACTAAGACAGACATTGAAATCAGTTTGCTACTGTCTGTACTATAGTGCTCCCAAACTTCAAAATACTAAGTTGGGTGAATAAAAAATTAATGATGGAAAATATTAAAATGTAAATGATATAGCATATGCCACAAATGTAAAATTGAAATGAAACTCATCATCTTCTGATTATTTCTGTTTGGAAAACATGCTGAGGTTATGATAGATTGATGAGCAGCAACAGCTTTTCCTCGTCCTCCTCTTCCTCTTCATTCTCTACCTCTTTCTCTCACCCCTCTTTCTTTAAATATGCAATAATGGTATTTCATATTAGTATTGATACATGAATTTAGTTGCAATACATGACTGTAAGATGCATGACTGCATCTTTTCTTTCATTATTTCTGAATGTTCCTCATAAGTCTTTCTCAAAAGACTAGCATTTTAATTCCAAAATATTAAGTCATGGGAGCAAGAAAGAAGTGAAGAGCAGATTCACATGAGTACAGAAAAGGTGCTTTTCACAGAATATGCAAATAGAAATCATCTTTGAAAAGATCAGTGAGGACCAAGAGATTTTGAACTCAAGGAACATGAAAATAAGGCTAACCTGCCTAGATAAATAAGTGGAATGGTACAGTTTTGACCACAAGCAACATTAGATAGCTACCCTCCTAAAACATTTCTCTTTCACAAACCTCCTTTAACACTTGAGTATTCACTCTGCATGACAATGATTATCATTAGTTTAACTACAGCAACCCTTTAGGTTAGGATAATTATCACCTCAGAGCAGAGGGTTTTCCAAAGATACAGCTATCTGATAATGGCCTCTGACAGCCAGATAACAAAAATATCTCCCTTTAGTCTTTATTCAGTAAGTCTTTCCTGGAGAAACAATGAATAACTTCTCATCGAAAGGGTGCTGGAAGGGCTTTAAGAAGAGAGAACTTAACACTTGCCTGCAGGATTGCCTTAAGTCCTTAGGTTTTGGGTTGGAATTTCAGCAATATGGCAGCCTTGAAAGGCGAGGACATTGCTACTAGCCAAATACCACAAGAGTAACACCAACTAATGTTGAAGAGATGTGCTTCTTAGCCTCTGTCCTTTACGTAAGGATAAATCTTTTCCTTGAAGAGAAACAGGATAGGGTCAACAACTGTTCCTTATCAAGTGTTTATACCAACCAATTTATCTTAATCTGGACCATATCTTCCCCTGTTTTGTCATTCTCCATGATATTGTCAAAATTAATTTTAATATTGTGGACCATTCTTGCAGAGAGCCCTGTTTCTATTCCTTGTAGTGTCCCTCTCTCATACCCTATGTTAATCTTTACCTGAGTACTTCATGACTTAAATGTACCCTGTCTCATCAAGAGGCTCATTCCTTCAGTATTCACATTTATACAGGTCTCAATATGTGGTAGGAATAAACCACATTATTTAACATAATTCAAACTAAGCCCAGTTTAATATGTGTCCAACTCCTTAAAATGTGTGTTTATACAAGGAGGTTTGCAATTTCAAAGGAATGGGCCTTTAATTGTGAACACATTGGCAGTGTTATGAGGTATGGTTTGGAAAGACCACTTACAGAGATTACTAAAATTAGACCATTTAGGAAACCATCCACAGCCAATGTTAACAAGCTTTTACCCACCTTATTCTTCACTCTTTTGTGTCCTTTTCCCTTTCATTAATAAAAATTTGCCTTGTCTATGGCCCAACTCTTGACTCCTGAAAATATTGTCTGTTGACCAAATGATGCTCAATGTTAATAAATGACAACTGTTTAATAGTGTTCAAAGTCATCATATGTTTAAGGCATGGTACCTAATGACGGATTGGATAAGTTAAGGGAATTAAAAGAGTTAAATATGATCCTGATCTTGTGAACTTGGAGCTAATTATAAGCCTGAATTATAAGCCTGAACCTTCTATGTATTTATACCCATGAAATTGAGAATAAAGCTTGACCTTAAAATGACTGCCTTTGTACCACCCTAATAAAAATAACTCTGAGGAAAATTTTTCTTACTATGAGATGGCAGTTTGATGCTGCAGGTTTTCTGGGGATGCATGTACATAGAGGAAGGATAGTTCTATCGGGAATCATTCATATCAAACTGTCCTCACTTGAATGACAATGCTTCTGGTGTTAGCTGAAATATACACCATGGCTCTCTAGTGGAGATTTTTTGCACTGCCAGTTTTCATTAATCGAAACACAAGAGGAAATAAGTGACGCGATACACATATTTAAACACTTACATAAAATCCCAGAATTCCCAAACTAATGAAGTAATTAACTTATAGAGCCCATATTACAATAGTCTTTTCCTGTATGTCTGTGTGTATGAAAAAGAAAATGTAAATTCAGACTTGAAGTGTTGGATACTTAAAATCTTATAATATTAATAACTTTAACTTCTATATGATAGACACTTTTACTGACAGATTGCTATTTGATCCTCATCACAATTTTTAAAGGTTTCTTGCTACATTTCCTGTTGTTCAGATGAAGAAACTGAGGCATGAGATAGGTTAGGTGATTTGCCCAAGGTCATAGAAGCAAAGCTAGGATTTGAATACAGATGATCTTGCTCTGGAGAACATATTCTTAGCTACCTCTTTTCCTAGGACTCTCAGCTTCCAAAGTAGATTCTTCTCAGCTTTCTAGACGAGTAAATCATCTTTCTTTACACATCATTGTGCTTAGTTACTTTTCTAGCTGACTTTTTCAGTCTATAATTATATACTATACTTTTACAACACAGGAGAGTGTCTCCTCTTGTGATGAACTTTTCTGGTATTTTTTTTTTGGCAGCACTGGGGTTTGAACTCAGGGCCTCATGCTTGCTAGGCTTGCTAGGCAGGTTCTCTATGTGATGAAGTTTTCTAATATAAATCATCAACTTAGCACTTCAACAATTTTATCTAATATAATTTATTATTGATTTGTCACACCCAGTAATGGCAAAGCTTTACAGTATTATACAATGCAATGCAATACAATGCAAGTTTGTGTTAAATGAGCTTTGCCTTTACATTATTTTCAATCTATTCATCTCTTAGTGTCTAGTCAACAAACTATATGAAGGAACACTGAGAGTTCCTTCAAGAAGGAACACACTCTGCATGAAGGAACAGTCTCTGGAATGAGAAGTGTGCTCTGTAGTCACCCTTTCATCCTTTGTAAACATTCCTATTTCTCTTTACAGCTCTATGTAATCTTCAGCCTTTGGAAGCCCTCTTCGTTATTTTACGGGAATCTGCTCCCACAGTTAAATCCAGTGGATGGTATGCCTTAATCTCCTAAACACGCTGATTTTACATTTTTCAGTAGCTAACTTTTCAGTCATTTGGTTGTCCTTGTTGGACAATAATTCCTATGATCCAGTATCATAACTGGGAACTCTAAATGATGAGTTTTCATCAAGAGCTAGGTAGCCAACTAGAAATAAGTAATACCATCTATAGTACATGATGAGGGCATTACTGCCCTGTCAGTAATTGGCATTTTCAGCTGTTTTTCCCCCAGTAATAAGAAGAACCAATGAGTACCATTTGTGACATTTCTCAATGTGCCTAGGTAGGCAGTCAGTGATTTTGATGTACAGCCCTGTTGGTTGTCCGGTTGTCCCAAAGCTAAAACAGAGGATTCTTCCAGAGTGCAACACTCCAGGCAAACTTGAGAATTCTCTGTGAAGCTTGCTGATCTGCTGAAGTTCTTGCATATTGTTAGTATGTATTGCTGGTCATTATGATTTAATTGTTGACCTTCATCCTTTATTTATTTATTTATTCGGTATAAATAGGGGCAACTCTAAAAAAAATATGACCTTCAAAGTGGCATAGGGGTGATAGTGGGTAAAGGTGTGACAGGCCTGAGAATTCTCTTTCATTCTTTTGATTCACTTCTTTTAGGTCCCGCAAGTTCCACAATTTCATGGAAAAGTGCATGATAAAAAACTTCCTATTTCGTCCTACTTCTGCAAACATGCTTCATCATCCATTTGTTCAGGATATAAAAAATGAACGACATGTTGTTGAGTCATTAACAAAGCATCTTGCTGGAATCATAAAAAAAAGACAGAAAAAAGGTAGAATCTGTGAAGTTTTGTTTCACTGGAACAAATATTCAGATGACATCAGAATTTATTCATTTACTGTTTTTTAAAAATAATATTTGTTTAAGAATTAGATTGAAAGTAAAAACTCTGAAGCCTTCAATATTTAGTTTTTCCAACAATATATTTTTATTCAATTGATTAGCTGTTACATGAGCATTAATATATGAGTATCCATATTTACAAAGATTTTGAAAGCTTCAAATAGAATTTGGTGATGTATCAATGTTATTTTAAGTAAACTCCTAACTAAAGATCTTTTAATTGACTCTGTAGAGACACACAGGTTTGTAATTAACCATTTGTTGACTGCTATTTTAGAGATTAATTCATACAAATAGAATTAAACTTCTATTAATTCTCAAAACAACAGGATAGCTTTTCACCAAAACTAGGGTAAACTACTTCAAAGCTCTAATTTTATGATTTGTGACATATTCTAAATTTAATTTCAGAGATCATAGGCAGAGTCCTTAGTAATAATGGAGTGAAGAACAGGGAACTTCAGAATTGATTGCATTGATGTTTTGTCCATCTACAAAACTATACATATCCTGTTTTCAAATGAACATCAGCAAGATAAATTTATGAACCTCTAGTGATGAAATTATTGAACCAACATCACAGAGGCCAGCCAGTCTCAAATAAATGTAGAAAAATTGTACATTTACTTGATAATTTGCTAATATACAGAGCTATAAGATTTCTAGAATGTTACTTGCAGGAAATATCCCATTTATATGGAGTTTATGCTAAAGATGTAAACACAGTTGTCCTAAGCATTTTAACAAAGGAAACTCAAAAGATAACTCTTGTAAGTTTCTATGTTTCAATAGTAACAGCACAGCTGACAAGAAAGAAGCTGAATGTTTTACCTGTATTAAATGTGAAACACACAATTTAGATTTTTACCTTCTCATTAAAACAACTAAAGATCAATTCCAAGCCAGAGTCAAGTCAGAGTTTTTCCTGTTCCATTTTCCCTTTGTCCAATTCTTTCTTCTTTCTCTTTATAATCACAGCATTCAGGTTGCTAAATTTTCTTTCCAATGTCCAGAGAAATTAATTTGCTAGAAATAACCACACTGTGTTGCACAAGTGGGCCAAAAGGACTACCTTCTCCTTGCCCTTGTAAATTCTCTCTACATCCTGAGCATTAGAGAGTACCAAGTGACTAAGGTGAATTACATGCATCTCTGATGGTTATTCATTATTTCTCTTTCTCTTTCTTGAAAAGGGATATCTCTGGTCTTTGAAAGAGAAGAAGCTATTAAGGAACAGTACACCCTGAGAAGATTCAGGTGCGTTAGACAAATTGCATGTATAGTTTGATACAGTTCCATAAAGGAGTTGATTCAATACTGTTGCATTTAACTCAAAACAACTCAATCCTTCCTAATACACAAAAATAACAGACCTCTATTTCCATGAGATATTGTGTGGTAATACTGAGGAAAAATTCTATTACTACCCAAAGAGTCCTTAATATATAGCAATAGAATGATCAAGTAGGTTATCAGACTCCATTACTAGTTTATTACATTAGTATAACAAGTATCACCTGCAGTATATTTCAGACACTACAGGAATGAGTCTAGAAAGATTTACTGAAAATATATGTTTTTGCAAAAGATACCCATCTTTTAAAGTGAGAGCAATTCCCCTGAATAACTCCATTCCACTGTAAACTCTAATTGTATGGCAATCATTTGTGGGTTTATTTCAGAGGACCCTCTTGCACTCATGAGCTTCTGAGAATGCCAACCAGCAGCAGATGCAGACCACTTAGAGTCCTGCATGGAGAACCCTCTCAGCCACGATGGTTACCTGATCGAGAAGAGCCACAGGTCCAGGCACTTCAGCAACTGCAGGGGGCAGCCAAGGTGTTCATGCCACTACAGAGTCAGGACAGTGCACATAAGTCTGTACAGGGACAGGCTCAGGCACCTCAACGACTATATGGGGCAGCTCGGGTGTTCATGCCACTACAGGCTCAGGTTAAGGCTAAGGCATCTAGGTCTCTACACATGGAGATTAAGGCACCTCCACGACTACGGAGGGCAACCTGGGTGCTCACTCCACTGCAGGCTCAGGGTAAAGTACCTAGGCCTCTACAGGTACAAGCCCCTTTACCCAAAGAGCAGCAGCCTCAGGCCAAGGCCCAGGTCCAGGCCCACACCCAGGCTCAGGCCCTAGCATCAGAACAGCCTCAAGATCTAGACCAGGTGTCAGAGGAATTTCAGGGACAAGATCAGGTACCAGAACAACAAAGGCAGGGCCAAGCTGCTGAACAACAGCAGAGGCAGAACCAGTTACCTGAACAGCATGTGGACCAGAACCAGGCACCTGAACAGCCAGAGGTACAGGAACAGGCCGCTGAGCCTGCACAGGCTGAGATTGAGGCACAGGAACCTGAATCATTAAGAGTACACGCCCAGGTGTTCCTGCCCTTATTGTCACAGAACCACCATGTGCTTTTGCCACTACATTTGGATACTCAGGTACTCATTCCGATAGGGGGGCAAGCTGAAGGGCCACCTCAGGCACAGGCCTGGGCACTAGAGCCCTCACAGGCAGTTGGATCAGTTCAAGCACTGATGGAGGGACTATCAAGAGACTTGCTTCGAGCACCAAACTCACATAACTCAAAGCCACTTGGTCCACTGCAAATCCTGATGGAAAACCTGTCATCAAACATGTTTTACTCTCAACCAGAACAGGCACGGAAGAAAAAATCTAAAGTTTTTAGTCTAAGGCAAGCTCTGGCAAAAAGATTGTCACCAAAGAGATTCAGGGCAAAGTCATTACGAAGACCTGAAGAGCTTGAACTTGAAGAATTAGAAGCCCACAGGCGAAGGCGCCAGCGCAGATGGGAGGACATCTTTAATCAGCACGAGGAGGAATTGAGACAAGTTGAAAATGTAAGTGTTTTCAGAGTATTTACTGGGTGAAAACTGCAAAGAAAATGTGCAAGTTCATGCTTATGTTTTTCCTCTGTAAAATAAAAATAAATATTCCCCGTGGTCTGCCAAAGATTTACTAAGTAAAGTGTGCTTCAAATAAATTATCCTGAATCTTTGAGATAGTTGTAATCAACTATGAAAAAAAATTGCTTGAATGATGTACGTAATAGCTTAATGTATCTCTGTAGAAATAATTATTCCCTTGACTAATAAAGGGACACTATATACACATTTAGAATTACCATTTTGAATCTTTAAACATTATTTTCATAATTTAAAAATTCGAACATAGCACAGTTTTTGTTCTCCTAAATTCTAAATTAATTTGTTCTTTCTTGTCATAGAATACTGGACTGCAGTACTTGAGAGGTTTTTTTTTAGTTTAGATTTTTTATTAGCATATAATAATTTTACAGAGGGATGCATTGTGATATTTACACATGTGCCTACAATATATCTTAGATTCACCCCTCCATCATTCTCTCTCCTCCCCTTTCCCCCTTCTTAGAACAATTTCAAAAGGTTTCATTCTTCTATTTTCATATATGAGTACAAAATAAAGCCACAAATCAAGGTTAAAATGAGAATGAAAAAGGGTCTCTGAAACATTTTGTATATAGTTACTGTGTTTATGACTGTCTCACTATTTTGCCACACATTTTGCATAATTAATCAATGACCTGGCTACATAGACCATGAAACCAGTTACAACTTGATCTTGGCACCTAAATTAAATTGTGGAATACAATGTGTTAACTTCTATTTATTTAGCAGCTATCAAAAATCTTCATTGTTTCAAAACCCCCTAATATAAGTATATAAACTTAACTGAGTTGTTGAATTTAAGCTGTCAACTCTAATCTGATAATGAAGAGTTTGTGGGCTTGATAAATTAATGAGGTCAGAAAAGATTAGGAGAACAATTGCTTTCTAATATTTTTCAGCATTCATTTATATAAAAGGAATTATTACGATATTACTAAATTAAACCTTATTATCCACATCCACTTAATAATAATTGATATAGTAATTATGAATGAACATTGTCTGAATATCCAACTAAGGGTTCCTGCACATTGAACCAATTGAATAAATGCTAATTTCCTGGCATATTTAACATGAAGAAAGGTAAAAGAAGCAAGCAAAGGCCCAAAAGGAGAAATGAATGCCGAGCTTCCAGAATATAAAAGAATGAAGCCAGGTGGAGAAATGAGAGTTTGAGTGATATTTGAGAGAAATTAGAGCATCTAACATGTTAATTACTATAGTCAATGAGCCCTATTAACCAATTAGATCTAATGGGTTTCATATTAAGGAAAATACTTTTATTTATCCTTGAAAGACCAGCATAGCACGTATTTATCGTCATTGATTGGTTTTAATATATAGCTTTTAAAGTAGAAGAGAAAAGCAATAAATAATAGTTGACAATACCATGACCCTAGGTTTTTGTACAAGTATTCAAATATCTATGGATTGTCCTTAATGAAATAAAATTACTGGTATTATAAGTCAAATGCAGGTCTTTAGAATTAATTGACTGTAATTAGAATTTAGAGACATCTGTGGGTGCTTCAACTCACCAGCAGGGAAAAATTCCCACATTTTCATTACACTCTTTGAATACAAGTGATAATATTGATTGAATTAAAAGGTAATACAATTTCCTGAGCTTTATTAGGGAGGAATATATAGTACAGATCTTCTATTGCTCATAAGGACCAAACTTTGGACTTATAACAGCTTGTTAAATGTGAAAGTTATGTTGGAGTTACAAGTTAATCAAGCTTTGGACCAATAAAACGTTTTTTTAATTTGGAGGTACCAGGATTTGAACTGAGGGCTTCACACTTGCCAGGCAGGTGCTGTACCACTTGAGCAACTCCTGTAGCTCAGAGTAGACATTCTTAATATACCCATAGATGAACTTCAGGAAATCAGCAGTTTCACTGAAAATATATGCATATTGTTATGTATATACAGTTTTCTGTGGACAATCTGTAGCATTCATCAGATTCCAAAGGGGATCCAGAACTAATAGAAAAAAACATTTTTTATATATTAAAAATAATTATTTTCAGTTGTATAGTAGGATGATGCCAGTTGTCCCAATAATTTGCATTATAAAAACAATTAAAATATTTATACTTCTTTTTGTTTTAAAGAACAAAGAAGATGACTCCTCAGACAATGATGAAGTATTTCATTCGATTCAGGCTGAAGTCCAAATAGAACCCTTGCAGCCATTTGCTCCAAATCCTGAAGAAAATGAGGTAAATACCCAACATGAATTGCTATGACATTAATAAGTGCTTAAAACAGTGGTTCTTAAACTTGTCGGTCTCAGGTTACCTTTTAATCTTAAACCTTGAGAACTCCAAAAAGTTTTTATTTTATTGTATATATTGTGCCATTTACTATTTAACTTATTTGAAATTAAAGGCAAAAACTTACAAATGCATTTTATTTAAAAAGTAATAAACTATTATGTTAAAATAATAAACAAAATTTAATGCAAATTTTCTATATTTTCCAAAACAAAGGTTTAGAGATAATGTCATTGCTTTACATTTTTGCATACCTTTTTAATCTATCTTGCTTAATGGAAAACATCTGGATTCTCATATCAACTTCAGCATTCAATCTATGGCCATATGTTGTTTTGCTTGAAGTATATAAGTAAAAGCTGGCTTCTCTCATATCATGAGTTGCAAAGGGAGACTTTGTATAGATGTTAGATGATTGTGCATATTCTTTTATAATATGCCAAAATAGACAAGCAAAATCTAAAATCATATTAATTAAGTTTTGTATTAGTAATATTAAGATCCATTGGTCTATCTTGTGTTATGAATACGTTTTTCTTATGCATGATTTTTAACTTCACTCATTGTTCAGTTGGAAAATACCGATTTACTATGCAAATAGGTGTTCCCAAATGTTTACACATTTCATTATACAATATAAAAAAGCAGCATTTGTTAACAGCACTATCAATTTCATCATAAATGCAACTGAGAATTTGCAAGCTGTCAAGGGCTCAGTGGCAGATAAAAGGTTTAAAATTCTGATTTTCAGGCTGAAAGCATTGCTCAAGTAGTAGAGCACCAGCTTAGCCAGGGAGATGCCCTGAGGACAACCCCAGTGCTAAAATAAAAGCTAATTTTTCCTTGACAGCTCAAACATTGCTAATCAACAGCATCAGTTTTCTTTTTCTTGAATTGATAAGCTTACTTCATTCTTTTAAAATAAAATGTCTTCCAAGTACCCATAGTTTGAGCAGTCGTAGTTTGTCAGTTTTTTTTTTTTTTTTGGCAGTACTGGTGGTTGAACTCAGACCCTAGTACTACTTGAGCCACACCCCCAGTCCTTTTTGCTTTGGTATTTTAGAGATAGGGTCTTGCTTTTTATGCTGGGGCCAACCTGGACTGTGATTCACCTATTCGTGTTGTGCTTCTCTGTGTAGCTAAGATGACAAGTGCATAACACTGGGCCCAGCCATTGGTTGAGATGGGGTCTCAACCACAATCCTCATGATCCTTGCCTCCCAAGTAGGCAGGATTACAGGCTTCAGCCACTGCTCTCTGCCTGTCAGTCATTCATCCAGGAAAAATGTGGGTAGTTCAGTTTGTAACATAACCACAGATATCTTTTTCTTTGACTCTGTGTTTTAGGATGCTATTTGTGACTGAGTCTGGGTCAGATACTCTGTGCTGTATTTTTTCTTACATTTATGGGAAAAATTAAATCAATCCTAGTGTCAGGGTTGACTTCTGTTTTATGAGTACATTAATATTACCTTATTTAGTACAGGTATTGGTGAAGCTAGAGTTGTAAATTCAGTTCTCATGTAGAAAAGGCAGCATTACCATGGCCAGCTTTTCTTACAGACAACCATTTAAAAAATTTAGCCATTAAGCGACACTTTGTAGAGCTAGTAGAGTGGCTCAAATGGTAGAGTGCTTGCCTAGCAAGCATGAGGCCCTAAGTTCAAACCCCATTACCACAAAAAAGATATTAGGTGAATAAGTGTGTGATGAACACCAGCTCCTGATGGGTCAGAAGCCTCCTGTATCCAATTAGTACAAGATGCTAGTTAGCACAAGATGCTTCACAGGAGTCTACTATGAAGTCTTTCCATGAATAATTCTCCTCTGTAAATACAGTTCCCTGATACTAACAGTCATGTGAAGTGAATAAGTTAAGAATATTGCTTTATAAATACTAGCCATTTGCAGAAAGATCATAAACTGGATTATATTATTTAATGAGAAGAGGCAATATGTCTTCCTCTCTGTCTTAGTAAATGACTTTACATATACGCCCAGTAATAATTCTTACCATAAGTGTCACCCTGTAAACAGGAAATGTAGTGAGCTGTGTTGGTTTTGGAGCACATTATATGTCTCAGTGTATGCTATTCTTACTAATCATTTTTCTTTTCCCATTTTTCAGTCAGAGACAGCCAACTCATATGAGGCCTTATCTTTGCTATTATTGACCATTATCTTTTCTGAGTGATTTTGGCCTCTGATTTATTAGTATCAATAAAGTTCATTAGCTGGGTGTGTGACCATGTACACTTGTGGTCTTAGCTACTGGGGGCTGAGGCAGGCGGATCACTTGAACCCATGAACTTGAGGCCAGCCTGGGTAACATAGCAAGACCCCATCACAGAATAAAATAAAATAAAGTAAAACAAATATTTCTGAAAACACCTTCATAAACCAAGAAGCTTAGACCTTCTCAATATGGTCCCAGTTGTCTGACTTGAAAGTAGAAAAACTCACTCAGGTAGATGTTTGTACTGCAAAGTAGCAAATATCTGATTATATTTGGAAACACTTATTAACAAAACATGTGAGACACTGACAATTTTTTTTATTTCTCACCAATCTGTCTGTTGGAGTGTAAAGACAGCCTTGATAAATCCCTTTATAGGGAAAAACTGTATACTAAATCTAGTGTAGTTTCTAGACACTATAGAGTGATTTTTATCAGCATGAAATGCCATTTTTTTAAAAGTATAACATGTTGAAATTTACTTTCTAAAGAATCTAGTATGACTCTTATTGCATGTCAGGATGACCTATTTTTTGAATAGCTAAAAACTGCTGCGAGTAGAAACCTAAATGAGACAAGGCAACACTCCCTAGTTCTTTCCACCAATGTTGACAGAAAGTAAATTTGCCCATTGAGAAACCTGACTCATTATATGTGCCCTTTCTTAAGTGTTTTGCTATATCAGATGAGTGTATAATTAGTAAAATCCAAATTAATTTGCCTAGAGGCAGAAAGTATTTGAAACACCAATTATAACAGTATAAATTGTAAAATAAAAAATCATACTTTCTTAAAAATAGGATATTTTGATTCTTGAGAGATTTTAATGATGTACATGTGTTTAGGACAACCCTTAAAAGTTTAGAAATAGCCTTAAAGGATGAACAAGTAAAAAAAATTAAACTTAAATTCTTGAATTTTGAGTGAGAAGTGCATTCTGATTTTAAATATTCCTTTGACTAAGGACTAGAGGTGTGGCTCAAGTGGTAGAGTGCTTGCCTAGATGTGACTCAGCTCAAACTTATTTAAAAAGCAGTTTACTTCCCAGGGCCCAATTTATCAACAATAAAATGATGGGCTTTAATTACATGGTCTCCAGAATTTATTCCTATGGTAAAATTCAAAGAAATGATAAGAAATTATGGATAAACAGTGTCAATGTTATATAAGCAATTATGACAATAATTACTTTATAAATTAGATTGTTAGGAAAATATATAAGGCATTTGCCAATACATTAATAACTCAAAAGAATTTATTGATAAGATTTTTACCAAAGTATCGCATTGTGTCTTTAAGGTCCAAGATGGATCTAATTCTATGCCTTGTAATCAGGATCGTATACAGCATGTCAAGTTCTCTTCAAGGTATGTGTTTTCAAATTACTCCTGACTAATTTTCACATGGAAATAAAACATTGTTTCTTTGACATTAAGTTGTACATAAAGTCAAAGCTAAAATATCAGTGATATTGTGAACATTGCATGATTGATCCACATTTTAAAACCTTAACTTCAAAAATCCAGTAACTAGATCTTTCACATTTGGACATACCATAATGTGTGTATCATTCAGTTTGATAATTAGCTAGCAAAATACACAATATAAAGAAATAATGACAATGAATTATTTGACAGTGAACAATTAGTAGTTGGTGATAAAAGACTTGAAATTTCAAGTGAGGTTTTGCCTACATTATATAATAAAATACACACATAAATTATCCCTAATTGCAGAAGCTAATGCCACTCAATCGGCAAACTTCCAAGTGTTCTATAGTTAAAATCAGATCTAAAGACACCATATTATATCAGTAAGATATCATATATAATATTGAATCCAGTCACTGTACTTTTGATCATTGTAGTATTAATGATCTTCAATAATTTTCAAACATCATTTTCCATATTTTAGATATTGCATGCTCAAAGAAGGCATAATTTTACAGAAGGTTTTCTTTGAAAACTTTAGCCCCTCCCTCCAACCCCAACTCACAATGGAGAGCCTATATTCACTCAGTCACTCAGTAAATATTTTTGAGCACTTCCTGTAGTCAAGATGCTGGACAGTATGGTCAGATGGCAGAGAGTTGACATTACGTAGTATGTATATTCCTACTTCATTATTTTTAAACCCCATATATTTATGTCTTCAGATTAAACTGGTTTGGAGAAATTTTGGAAATATTGAAAGCAAGATTGAGAACTTTCATTTTCTCTACACTTTCAATGAATGGATTCCTATGGTGCTTCTAACCTCAAAGGAAAGAAACTGGCTTAGTTGTGAACCATTGTTTTGTTAACATGGAACATATCTTTAATAGAATTCAGCGTACAAAATTAAACTTAATATTAAATCAAGAGCAATCACTTTACAAAAGGCAATACATTGCTTTTAAATATGTTTAAGTTTATAAAATCGATCTAAATTAAACCTGGGTTTTTCCTGAAATTTGGGTCATAGAAATGTCCTTTATTCCAAACCTAAATCAATCACCAAATTCTTCCCATATAGAAAACAAAAAAAGGATATGAAATTTAGCAGCACTGACCTTTAATTTGACTAGTAAGAACTAAAGTGGTCTATCCTGTCTATCCATCTATCTGTCTAAATCAAGAGCAGTACATTATAAAACATGGACTCTAAGAATTTTAAATCAGAATAACATTAGTAAAATATTTGCTATAGCGATAACATTGTATTTACTATGTTAAAATACGCATATACACTATAAGGTCATGTTTATTGCTGTGTTAACCAGGTAAAAACATTGTGTGATTATCTTTAAAAAGTTTATAAAAAGTTTAAGAAATAAATATGATGTATGAAGGATACATATTTCTGTATTTTAGAAATTGTTTCTCTGTTCTACATAAAATCACAGGTTTGGACAAAAGTGGAAATTGGAAAATAGTACTGGAGCTCTATTTCTTTTCAGTGTGATATGTAGTCATGTAGTTATTTGTTGGTCTTTGTGTTGAGTTGTGTATGCCCCATATGAACATTAAGACATTGCATATGCTTTCCTGTCTTTTTATTAGTGTTCCTCAGGAATCTCTTTTGGAACAAGCTGAGAGGCCCATTGACATCAGAGAAAGGAGCTCGCAAAATCCTCAAAATTGCCCAGCAGAATCAGGTGATTCAAAGCATGAAGTTTCAAGAGTCAAAACCCACAGCTAATGTTTAACAGTTTATATTTCAGAAGTTAAGAAAGAAGAATTTCAAGAAGGAATGGATCAAAAATGTCAGGGGGGCCAAGTAATATTAGAACCAGAAAAGGCAATTGGATTTGGTGATTGGGTGGTCAGTGGTGACTGCTGAGACAAGGAAAATGATTTTCCTGAAGTTTCTTCTTGCTCTTGCAGTTGAGTGGTAGTTGGAATGGTCTGGGAAGATACATGTGTCAACTTTAGTTTCTGTACCTGGTGAGAAAAATATATGCAAGAAACTTGAAAGAGGTTTCTCTGACAGGTTAAAATTTATAGGCAACCTTTAGAATATTGGATGGAGCAGTTGTGACAGTGTGTTTTACATGTTAGGTTGTTATTTCACCTCCCCAAGTATGATACACGTATCTCATAAATATTTCTTAAATGTTACAAACTGACGATTTTAATCAGAATAAATGAAAAATGAATCCATCAAATCACACACAACAACATCACAAATTGTGACATGAATTTTTCAATTGTGGATATTATTTTACAATGGGCTTTAGGAGAGTTTAAATGAATTATAGATTTGTAAAATATTATGATAAATAAGACAAAAGTGCTTTAGACCACAAAATCTGGCATTATACAGTTTTAAGCTATCCAGCTAAGCTATGCATTATCAGCTCCCCAAGTCATCTATAAAAGGGTAGCATGAAGATTTTATTAAAATGTTAATTATAAAAAGGATATAGAAAACCAAAGATTCAAAGATCTGAACTTCAAAAACCCATTCTTCATCTAAAAAGTCTCAAGTAATGAAATACTTTTTTGAAATAATAATGTATTCTCATGCAGAAGTAGTATGTTACTAAGATGTAAGATAAGCTTCAGTGAGGAGTAATTTTAGAATTTTTTCCCCAGAATCTTTTCATTCTGCTTCAACTAGGGCTAATTTTGCTAATACTGAGCAAATGACTAAAAATTTAAAGTCTATTCATGTTATCTTTTTGAAATAAAAAAATTCTGGATTAAGCCCCAAAACTTTAGTCATAGACATTGATGGGAGGGAGTTAGCATCTGGGCAGATAAGAGATAAATTTCTTTTCAGGCCTGAAATTATGTTATATTATTATGTACACAACCAAGATCACTTGTGATCCCAATGAGAGGAAATACTTTACTATAGATATGCCTCAGAATTACAATACACTCATACAGACTTCTTATTTTGTTCTACTTTAACAACAAAAGACTTGAGGAAAAATAGGTTTCTGCATAAATAAAACAAATGCAAAAGTACAACAGTACCAGAAGATAAGGACGCACATTGTAGGATGGGTTTGGTATAATGTTCTCAAGACAGCAATGTTTACAAATGTGTGCTTTTTGGATTTGTAGTGTCTATACTTAGACTATATATAACAAGTCTGCAAATAAAATAGTAGTCATATTTATCTTTAAAATCCCAGCACATAAAAAAATAAACAGGGACCTGAGTGTTCCCTTGGATAACCTTTTCCAAGTACAATAACCCAGACTCACTGATTTTGGAGCATATTAAATATTCTCAGTGTGTTTTAATCACAGGTGTTATTTACCATACCACAACTTTTTTTTTTGATGAGACTGGGATTTGAATTGAAGGCTTCATGCTTGCTAGGCAGGAGCTCTATCACTTTAGCCACTCCACCAGCCTACCATTCCACAACTTAATATCAAAGATGCACTTCCAAACTTGATAAATTTGTATTTTAAATGGAAATATTTACACTATGATATTGTGATGTCCAATGTGATAAGAAGTAGCTACATTTGGCTATTAAAATGAAGAGTAAAAAGAAAATTGAATAAACTGTAAAAGAAGTCCATTTCTCAAGTGTACTGTTCACATTTCAGTTGCTCAATAGTTATATGTGGCTACGGTGTTGGACAGTAGAGATACAGAACATTTCTATCACTCCAGAAAGTTATATTGGACATCACTGATACACAAATTTTCCAGCTTTACTAAAAGGGTTAAGTTTGGTCTCTTTTCAGTAATTCACCCCTTAACTTTATTGAAATACTTGAGGATATATAACACTGGGAAAAACTGGGGATGTTTAAGATTGCAGAGTCAACTCAAGAGTTTTGGCTAATCATTTGTCTTCTAATACACTGCTGGCCTCCTTTTCCACTGGTTAGTATGTGAGGCCACTGATACTTTTGCTCTTTCTATTCTTGATTAATTATTTTTCTAAATGAATCTACCTAGCTCCTTACCAGTCTTACTATGCACATTCTTATACAGATAGAAATACTTAACAAGTGAACATTAAATCTTGAAAACTTAAAGTCATGTGGATTGACAGAAAGAACAAAACTTGAGCCTGCTGCTACCTCTGAAAACACAATGTAGTTTCCTGGCCCCATGGCAATTTATAAGGTGATATTTCCTGAATGGAATTATGAAGGCTATAAGAAAAACAATAAGGAACACAAATGAAAGCAACGATTGTAATGTCCATTGTTACTAATGTGTTTTTGGCATTCCATAGAATCTTCTTCTGAGGAAGAGAGTCCCATAATTGGGAGAAGGTCCCAGTCATCACCGCCTTATTCTACTATTGATCAGAAGTTGCTGGTTGATGTCCATGTAGGTTTCCATCTTGACACATTCATGTCTGTTATTTTAAATTTTCATTTTCTTGACCTAAACCTTCTCATCTTCACTTGAGTATGGATAGGTTAAAGAATTTAACTTACTTAGTTTTTGTTTTTTATTAGGAAACATTCATTATACAGGGAGCAAGTCCATCGGCCATATACCATTACCTTAATCTCCTTTTTTCACCCTCCCTTTCCCACTAGGACCTTCCCATACACACACTGTACCTATTTTACAGTCCTGGTTTTCATTATTAATATTTAAGTTGATGTTCAAAGGGGTGTCTCAGTGTATTCCCACTGTGAGTGTACTTTACTTTGGTCCATTCAACCCTTTCCATTACTCACCCTTATCACTTTACGTCCCATCCCACATTTTTCAACAGCTTTCAATACACATCCTTATATCCTTTACCTTCTCATAATATGTTATGTGATATTACTGATGCTCTATCATTTTCTTTTCCTTTCCTTCTTCACATGAGTTCCATAGAGTAGTTCCACTATTACAAACATGTTCTGCATTTGAGTTTGTAATGATTGTGCTTGTTTTTGTGTATATATTTATCTTTGGATCTATCTTCCATGGATTAGAGAAAACATGTGACCTTTGTGTTTCTGATCCTGGCTTACTTCACTTAATTTACTTACTGATCTTTATAAGATAGATTCCCATTGCTATGTAAGCATCCAGAATTTGAAATTTACAAGTTAAATTGGAAATGGGAAAACCTTTAATTGATCAGAAAATATTCTGTTTTACATTCATGTGTGAGAACATATTGGAAAGAGGAGTGGTAAAGAGATAATTGTGTAAGCTGATCTCAAATTAAGGGGGTAGAAATTATACATTCAGTTTTTGCTTAATAGCATCACTTGTGTGGTGAGCAAATGTAGAAAAATAAAACTTTTCGTGAAAACTAAGTGTCCTTGGCATAGCTAAAAATTTTGCAACTCTTTTAGCAGTGTGCTTTCAGAAAAATTTATTCTATATTTGTATTTACTGACCCTAATATAAACACACTCATGCCTAAACACTGCTATATGTCATTTAAGGGGTGGATTTATATTAATTTGCTTTGTAGAAGTGTTTTTGAGATATTTTAAAGTAACCTATACTATGTAAAGTCAAAGCTTGTAAATTAGCCTATCAATTTAAAGGTCTATACCTTAATCTCAGCATGAAGGATAAAACAAAAGGAAAAACTGGCTTTATCTAAAGAGTATCAACTCACCTGTTCTGCTCTCCAGCATCAAAAGCAAATGTATACTTCTCAGCAGATGAATAGGGGTAATAAAAAAAAGTAAATAAATTTTCCCTGTGTGATCCAGAAAGTCCACTAATAATCACAGCCTGATGTTTGAGCTTGAAATATCATCATCACTAATATATTTGCTTTATCTAGTGAGTGAATATCATTGTTTCAATTGAGAATATATTTTAAAATGTTGTATTCTTGGAAACTTTTCAATTTAAAAGAAAATGAAAGGCTACTAGAGACTACATTAACCTTTCTTGTACACACAGGTTCCAGATGGATTTAAAGTAGGAAAAATATCACCCCCGGTATACTTGACAAATGAATGGGTAGGCTATAATGCACTCTCTGAAATCTTCCGGAATGATTGGGTAACTCCTGCACCTGTCATTCAGCCACCTGAAGAGGATGGTGATTATGTTGAACTCTATGATGCTGGTGCTGATACTGATGATGATGATAATTCTAACGATGTTTATGAAGATACCTATGACCATGCCAACAGCAATGATGACTTGGATAACCAAGTTGATCAGGCAAATAATGTCTGTGAAGACCGTGATGATGATAATGACAATGATGACATAGATAACAATCATGATGATGCTCCTAATTGGCCAAGGTTGGTATATCTATATTATTTCTATTATACGGATTTCATAACTTCAGAAAAAGAGTGAATGACTTGCAGCTGCATTTTGGAAAATGGTTTGATCTTCAATAATGTACTTTAAATTGTTCTGTGCAAAACAACAATTTTGCATTCCTTGTACATAATTTTTGCTAATATTCAAGTGTTTGAGATTTTTTTATAACTGAAATGATCTGATTGTTTCTGGTAAAATTCATGCTACTGACTCTTTCTGCCTTGAAAACCACAATTAGTATGAGAAATGAAGCAATGAGAAATGAATTAGTAATTGCAAGTATAGCTATGCATTTTATCAAACAGTTGTAATATTGCCATGTTCATAATAAATTTAAGATGATCATTTTCTATTTAATTAGTGGAGAAAGATCTTTCAATTTTTTCCATGAATTAATTTATTGTCAAACAAATTTGGTTTTTGCATTAAACAGGCACATATGTTTAATCTTGCTCCTTAAGCACAAAAAAAGCATTGAAACATTTTTGATAAGCTTGGTGTTTTTGAAAACTAATTAAATTACTATTTTAGTTCTATGAGAAATGAGGCTTGTGTTACTTGAACTTACTGGGATTCTATAGCAAGGCAGTTGATATACATGTAAGGAAATCAAGGTGAATGTTAAGATGAAAATAAACTAGATATATTGAAAGAAGACTCATTCAAGTATGTTCTGGTTGAGCCAAAGATATGGGCTTAATTATTCATGCAGCTGTGAAGTTTCTAACTCATGATATATTCCACTATTCAAGAAAAATGCATGTTCCTGCTGCTAACCCAACGTGTATACCATGCAAAAAAGGCAAGCTCTCTTCTCTCTGCCATCCAAATGCAGAGAAGAAATTGGCAGTGACTATGGTATTAATTCAGCATTGAAGACTAGCAGTCCATGGAGGCATTTTTCTTGTGTACCAAAAAGGTTCATACAGAGCAGCAACGTGCCTGGATGTGGTATATATGTATAAGACAAATCCTAATTCTGTTGCATTTGCTGGCTTTCAATTGTGTTTTCATTGGGTGGCCTTTTTCATTAATTTTACCTTGTTATCTGGGCAAGCTTTGGCAGGTACGGAAGTTACAATAAAGATGGAAATGATGGAAGTGAAGGAAAAGAAGATTCTGGCAGAAGCTATGGAAGCGGTAGAGGCAAAAGAAGCCATGGAGGAAATGCAGCCAGTGGTGACAGTGCAGTCTTTGGAGACCAGGAAGGACATGCAGCCAAGACAGGCAGTAAAATAGGTATCAGGGATAATGGAGATAAAGGAGTTGGTGGAAGAAATGAAGAGAATGAGGCACTTGGACTCAGTGAAGGAGAAAATCGTTCAGAAACAGATGGCCTAGGATTGGAAAGACCTGTATTTCATGACTTTGAACATGAACAGGAGGTAATGCACCGTTTGAAAAGGAGAATAAACTTCTCTCATTGTGAATGTGTTTCTGTACCTGATATGTAGCATTTCCACCTATCCCAAATAGATTTTAAGCTTTTACCCTGAAGCCTTAGACATTTTTAGTAATAGGTGTGTGGGTAGATATTTATTACATCTATTTGGATCGTTACTATTTACCTTCAGGGATAAAAATCTCTTATTTGTTTTCATTTTTAAAAATTCAGATCATATGTTTGGGGTGGTGTCTCTTAACACAATTTTTTTTCAGGGAAGATTGTTTTTACTGTATGATATTTATATAACATACACATGTACATTATATATTTAAATATGAAAATAGCACAGTAAAACCCACTAAAGCCTGTAAAAAGGAGGGAGAAAGAGGGCAGGTCATTAAAAAATATAGGGGTGAATTTGATTAAAGCCCATTATATGCATATCATATTACAACACAAAATATTACAATGAACCCCCTTTATACAATTAATTTATACTAATAAAAAATTTAAAAACACATTACATAAAATTTACCATTTTACCCATTTTAAAGGTACAAATCAGTGGCATTTAGTACATTTGCAATGTTGTGCAGCTTTCACCTTTATCTATTACTGTTATTTTTTTTACCTTTCCAAATAATTAACTCCTAGTTCTTCCTCTAGCCCCCAGTAACCTGTATTCTACTTTCTGTCTAGGTGTCTAGGTACTTTATATAAGTAGAATCATGCTATATCTGTCCTTTCATGTATGGCTTATTTCACTTAACATGATATTTTTCAAGCACTATGTTTTAGCCTGCATCATAGCTTCATTCCTTTTTAGGGATGAATAGTATTCCATCATATGTATATACCATATTTCATTTAAGTTGTTTCCATCTCTTGTCTGTTATGAATAAGTTTCTGTGAACATTGGTGTTTAAGTATCTTTTTGAGTCTCTGCTTTTAGTTCTTTTGGGGTTTATATCCAAGAGTAAAATTGCTACATTATATGGTAAGTCTATGTTTAGCTTTTTCAGGAACTATTAACACTTAAAAATTATTTTAACAGTGCTAAGGATAGAGCCCAGGGCCTTAAACATGATTGGCAAGCACTCTACCACTGAGTTACATCCCTAGCTCCAACATATACAGTTTTAATTGAAGTAGTGTATTGTGGTCAGACACTGATTTTGTAGTTCATGTTTATTAGCAAATAGTTCAAAAAGCTTAAGTAGCTTCTCAGATGCTAAATGAAAAGGGATTGTCGCAGAAGAGATTTCTTGGAGTACATGGCATTTAAAACTAATTCTTGACAAATGGTGATTATCTTGATATCTGAAAATGCAGCTGGGGCTCCAGAAAGAGAAAAGATTGGGTCATTCTACTTTCTTAGCCTATTGTTCTGTCACACAAATTGGCTTTGAAGATGCCATACTCTTTTTCATGAGTTGGCACTCCTTGGGTAAGCTGTTCCTTTTGTCTAAAAGACTGATCCTTTATTTCTTAGATGAATTACTTTTCCTTTATGATCCAACTCAAACATAACCTTTACTTTCTAAGATAGAATTGTATACCCTTCCCTCTGTGCTAGCAAGCATTTTGCACGTAATTCCATTTCAGTACTTATGACACTGCAGTTTAGTTATTTGTTCAGTATTTTTGTCACATTTCACACGTATACTATAGGCCCAATGCAAATACAAGCAATATCATATATATACATAGAAATATATACAGAGCATGTATACAGTTGAGACTGTATAGAAGGCCAAGGGAGGAGGAAAGAAAGACAGTGAATCATAATGAAATACATCACATCTGTGTTGGAACAAGACACATGGAAACATTCTGAAAACTGTTAAAAACACAGGACAGGGATTAAAATTATGAACTCATAAAATGAAACAAGCTGGAGGAGTGGTTCAAGCAGTAGGGCGCCTGCCTAGTAAGTATTGCACCGAGTTTAAACCCCACTACTACCAAAAAAAGAGGAAGAAAATAAATTATCTAATTAATCCTTGAATGTTTTTCTACCAACTCACCCAACATCTGTGTGCAACTTCGGGCCTGTCCCGTGATAGACACACGATAATTATGGGAGAAATAAGTAAAAGAAGGAAATATAGAAAAAATAGGAGCAAAGAAACACTCCAAATGGTTTCTGATGGGAATGCAGTAGCACTTGGAAAGTATGTCTACCTGTGGATCTCTCTGTTTATCTTAATTGAAGTCATTGAAACAGGATATCCCAACATGAGTTTCATAACATCTCTAGGTATCTTAATCTTAAGTTCATAGAGTGAAATGATTTTCCTTTCATTTTTATTTAAAATGGATGTGCATTCTATACCATGCTTTTGTGGTTGGAAAGGTCATTAAAACCAGTGTTTTGCACAACTTTCTCCATGCCAAAGAATCACACTTTTGACACAAAGGGGTCATCAACAGACACACTTGCCAAAAACAGTTGGTACATTTTCCCATAGAATGTAGAATGCCACCTTAATTGACACATTTTGAGGTATTTATCCTTGGATATCTACTCTGTTAGTTAATAGAAGCAAGCTACATTTTCACTGAAATATGTTTACATTCTTGAATTTGTGCAAGTTGATTTTCTGTCTTTTGCTTTGTCACTGAAAAATTCTTCCTGTGAGTTTTTCATGCTTCTGGTTCTCTGAAGGTATCTTAAATGGAACAGATACCCTCACATGTGCTTTTCTATTTCTTTTCAAGTGGCTGTTTGGCAGAACATAGCTGAATGTACACTGTGAAATCAAACTGGCTTCAAACTTCAGGTCCACTACTTGCTAGTGCTCTGACCTAGAGAAACCTTCAGTTTCATTATAACTAAGTAGCAGGCAATTAGAGCTGCTTGTTGCTTTATGTAAAACGAGATTCCTAGTTTAGTATCTGATATATTTTCACAAATGTTGGGCCCAAATTATACAGGTGGGAATTTAAAGCTGTTTGTATTTCTCCTCTGTCACCATTGTATCAATAATAGGATACTTCTATTTTGATAACATTGTTGAGAGTTTTTAGTAAATATGGACTTTATAAGTGTGTATACATTTCAAGTTTTGCATTTGCTTTATGAAGTGATCCCTGAACATATTTGTACTGCTGTGGCCCTCCTAATAAATTAAAAATTGGTTTTTGTCTCCTTTTAGGAGCCAGATGGTGGAAGTGAGGCCTCAAACGCTATTTCCTCGGATATTACTCTCCCAACACTTGATGATGAGAATGACAATAAGGACCTATCACAATCATCGACACCATTGGGTTTTTCTGCTAGCTACTCATCTTCCAAAGATTCTGGAAGGGCTGCTGATGCTGACTTTGCCAGTGCCATCTGTGAGTGTGTCTAGTATGATCTTTCAACGCTGCTACCTGTTCAGAAATTAAGTAGTACTTATCTACTTACTTGTTCATGATGTACAAGAATTCAAAGCATTCTAATATTTAGTTGGCATAAACTCAGGTTGAAATATGCTTTAAAAAAAGCTACTCCTCATGGAATCTTTAGAATTCTCTGCTTTCTAATCAAAGTAACTTAAAATATATTCTTACTCAGCAATATATTTTAAGCATCATGATTTGTATTGTCTGATGGTTTAGATAAAATGATGAGAGCTCTAGTGAAAAACAAAAGGCAATAAAAGAAAGGGAAATTTTCTAGTCTGTGTCTCAGACTAGAGAAACTGAACCACTGAAGCACATATGATATATAGACTAGTAATTTCTCTCAATATCTTCCCTTACTTCACAGTGTATGCTGGATTTGTTGAAGTACCTGAGAAATCACCTAAGCAACCCTCTGAAGTCAATGTTAACCCACTCTATGCCTCTTCTACATGTAAAAAACCACTAATCCACATGTATGAAAAGGAATTCACTTCTGAGATCTACTGTGGTTCTCTGTGGGGTGAGTTTGTTTCCTTGAAACTAAGTTCTATTTTTTTAAATCTACTTTTATCTATGTAGAAAATCTGTGAAAATCATAGATGCAAAATATTTGTTTACTATAACCACAATAACCAAGATATTACCCATCAATTGAAAATGTACTCATAGTAATTTGCTCAGAATTGATCTGGTTATCAAATTTATAACTCCCACATTTTTATTCTATTTCTCATTTAAACCTGAATTAACTTGGCTAAAATATAAAATTGGACAGGGTTATGACTATTTGAAATTTGAGCTTAGTATTTTCTAATTTAATATATGATACCTAATGGAGAATTTCAGGGTCAATTTCTACAGGATTTTGTTTTTAAACACTTTTAAAGATTTGTAGAGAGAGTTCTTTTATAAAGTCTTACATTTGACAGATTTTTGAAAGTCTTTATTTCAGAAGAATTATAATAGTATCAGTGGTGTGGAGATGATATTTTACCTAAAGCCAATTTGCATCATAAATGAAACAAAATAACTGAATTCAAGGCAGGAAGAGATCCAAAGTAAATACCAACATCTGACTTGCAAGTTGGTAGATTTCACTCAATGTATGATTATACAGAAGATAATATTTTAAGTTAAAAGTTCAACTTGGTTGCAAACATAGTAATATGTATTAAACAACTTAGAAAAAATGTTATCCTAAAATCTTTACTAATTGAGTGTAACAGATGACAAGAATGTGTGGACATTTCAGTCTGGCATCTACCCAGAAATGTATTTTATGTCGAGTAACACATTTGATAAATTTTGATTTGATATTTTGAAAAATAAAAGATTATAGTAAAACTCGACTGTACTTCCCTGGCCCTCCCAGATTCCCCTTGTGGGAAGAAGATGTAATTTCTAAACCTTCCATTGACTGCTGAAACTGGTAAAGATCAGAGTGAGAAAATGAAGGCAGAAGCATTTCTTCTCTCCTGTACTTTCAGATCACAAATATTGCCCTAGTAGAAGGAAGACACTGAAGTTTTCTCTCTGTAGCTTTAATGGCTGGTTGTCTCCTAAGTTTCAGTTTATAAAGAAAAAGACTCCCACAATAGTTTGAAGTTTGTTTTAACTTCAATTCTGTCTTATGTTTCAGTCCTCTCATTGGTCTTTAAACAGTACTTATATTTGAAAAATTAGAGCCAGCCAACAAATAAAAGAGGAAGTAGGAATTCAAAATCATGAAGAGCTGGCATTTAGCAATGTAAAAATTTTAAATCTCCATAAACATAAAATCATCAATTAAAAAATTTATATAAAAATAATAAAACCTTTAGTTGTAATTATGAATAAAAAGTAGATTGAATGAAGTGAATTGAACTCTTTGTATGTGGGAGACTAAGGATGCTTAAAGGCAATTTTTGAAAGAGTTGATTTATTTTGATAAAGTTTGGGACACTACCAAAAGGTTCTATGCTATACATAAAATCCTATTTGTGAGATGGCATAATAGACACCAACCAGCAGAATATTGCTAGAAAGAATTTTCATTTATCTTTTCACATATTTCAGTGAAATTTGTTCTATTATTAGAGAATACATTGTTACACTTTATGAGGTTTAACATTAGCCTAAAATGATAAAAGTTACCTGTGCTCAGGTCAGCATACTGCAATAGCAAAAAATAGCAATATAAATGCAATTAAAAACCAAGAAATGAATGAACAAAGAACATGTGACATATATGCACAATGGAGTATTACCATAAAGAAGAACAAAATCATGTCATTTTCAGGAAAATGGATGGAACTAGAGATGGAAAAAGTCAGACTTAGAAAAATATCACATTTTCTCTCATATGCAGAATCTATATTTAAAAAGAAAGATATAAAAATAGAAGGGAGATTATTAGGGAAGAAGAATGGTCCTAAAGGTAGGGAGAATAAGGAATAAAAGAAGGTAGTAGGGGATGGATATGATCAAAATACGTTACATGCGTGTATGAAAATGTCACAACAAAACCCAGTATTTTGAGCAATTAATATCTGCCAATAAAAATAACCTAAGATAATATAGTACTTTCCTTTTTTTTTATATCTGAACAGGAGTGAATTTGTTGCTGGGAACCGATCTAATCTGTATCTGATGGACAGAAGTGGAAAGGCAGACATTATTAAACTCATAAAGAGAAGGCCATTCCGCCAGATTCAAGTCGTAGAGCCACTCAATTTGCTGATTACCATCTCTGGTTTGTTTAAGAACTAAAATTAGCTGAGCTATTATGGAGATTAATTAGACTGTAAACTAGGTTAAGACTTTCTGACATGAAAATGTTCATAGAACACTATAAATATAACCTTTAATTGGGACACCAGACTCTCCTACTTTTTCTTATCTAGTTACAATTTAATCTAAATTCCTTTAATTATAATGCATTTAACCTAGGTTAGTGATAAGAAAAGTCAAACTATTTGCATCTTTGAGGATCTTTGTAGCCTCTTACAAATCCACAGCCTTTATTCTCATCCAGTCATACACACAGTACCACCCTAACATCTGTCATTTACCTTACATGTGGTGTGTTAGAAGCAACAAAAAGCAAAGCAGATAAATAATTGGGTAAAAAACAAACTTGTCCCTGGCATAGTCCCATTACAAGGGCCTACAGATGGGATTAGTTACAAGAATGGATCCCCTAAAGGCCTCTACATTTTCCCCACATGGTAGTTGAGTCTCTTAGTTTTGACTAGTTAGAACATGAACCTTTAACTCTGAAAGCAAATAAGTGGATGTTATAGTGATTGTAATTACTGAACAGGACTTGATATCAGAAAAGTTATAGCACTAATGCTGACTATAAAGAAAAGATGACTGACTTTTGAAGAAAAGTTAAAAACTAGCTAAGCATGATGGCTCACACTTGTAATCTCAGCTACCGGGAAGGTGGAGATTGGGAGAATCGTGCGTGGGGGAAAAAGTTAGCAAGATCTCCTTCTCAACTAATAAGCCTACAATCCCAGATCCATAGGAGGCATGTAGATGAATTATGGTCCAAGGCCAGCCCTGGGAAAAAGCATGAGACTCTATCTGAAAAATAACTAAAGAAAAAAGTGCTGAAGGCGTGGTTCAAGTGATGGTCTGTCTGCCCGCCAACCGCTACCCTGAGTTTATACTCTAGAACTGCCAAAATAAAAATGTTTAAAACAAAAAGGTTTGGCTACAGAGTAAAACCATGCGAATCATAGATATTTATATGAGTTTGTATATGTTACAATATGTAATGTATATGTAGACTACATTAGTGTGCCAATTGCCATGTTGCACAGTGATTATGTATATTCCTAAATATGATTAACTTTGCTTTAAGTTTTGATTAGAGGTGAAAATCCTTGATAGGTATACTTAGCCTTCATGATGTTTTAGCTATGTTTTAGGGCCTATCATGTATAATTATTTGAGGTACACAGAAGCAATATTTAGTTTTTTAAAAACATCTGGGTATCTTAGAAACTACACATCTGGAGAACAGATTTATTTACTTTTATGTCCCGCATATTCTAACCTTCTTTAAAGCCTGAACTTTTCTCACATACAAATTATTTTTGCATCAAATTCTATTGAAAACCTCAGTATAGGAAGATACCCAATAGTTTATTTTACCATTTAAGAATAAAATGGCCATAAGCAACTAAATATCTGAAACCTAACACTGGTTCAAAAATGTCCTGTCATAGCATATGAAAGATTAATAAAATAAGTAAGAATCCTGTTGTTAGGATAATAATAAATCCTAAAAATGGCTAAGAAAATTAATAAAGGTAGTATGTAGGGAGAGGAATGTGTGATTTTAGTGGCCCATGGTTCTTGAATGAATTGTAGGCATTTGATAGGACTGACAGGAAAATAATGATATGATCTCATACATAAGTGGAATTCAAAAAGTTGATATCATTGTAGTTAAGCATAGAATGTGGTTGCAGAGGCTGGATTGAATAGGCAGAGGGTGAAAGGAGAGGTAGTAGTGCAATAGGTGCAATGTTATAGATAGATAGGATGAACAAATTTTGGTGTTCTATGGCATAGCAGGGTTAATGTAATTAATAATAATGCATTTCATATATATCAAAAAATTAAAAGAGAAGAATTTGAATAGTTTAGAACAATAAATATGCCAATTGTCCTGAATTGATTGCTACCCAATGTATACACAATTCAAAATATCATTTTACTTCATAAATATTTATAAATATTACATAACAATAAAAATCATTAAAAACAATTAAACTTGGTTGGGGGACAAGGAGAGGGAAAGAGAATGATGGAGAGGAACAATACCTAAATATATTGTGTCTATGTATGAAGGTGACACAAGTCAATACACTGAAAAACTGTTGAGAAAAAAAGGATGAGGAAAAGAGAGAATAGAGGGAGTTAATCTGATCAATGTACAATATATGCATGTTTGAAATATCACAGTGAATCTCCATCTAGATTAATATATACTAATTTTAAAATAATAAAAAGATGAAGTGGGTTGAGAAAACAATAAAACTATTCAATTATTTTGCAAACACACTGGAATGAAAGAACACAAAGAGGTCTATCCTACTGGCCCTAAATGCTTAAATTTGTACTCAGTATTCACACATCCCTCTCATACATATATACTACCAGGGACAGTTTCTAAGTCTCTGATCACCAAAAGGGTCATGACTTAGTAAAAAGCCAAGTAGAAATGAATGGATGGTAATTTCTTGCTTAGTGATAGTCTTAACATCTTGCTGTGAAATGTTTTTAGGTCCACTTCAGACAAGCACATACTTTACTGGTAGACAGTCTGTCTCTTGGAATTGACAAACCAAGATAGACTTTGCTATCATATTTCCAAACTCTGAAAGAGTCTGATGCAATACAGTTTTTAAGTGCTTTTTACTTTAATGAAAACTTTTAGTTAAAAAGGCAAAATGCCCTTACTACTTTGAAATACTTTGTCTTTTACTATTTTTTAGGCCATAAAAACAGACTTCGAGTATATCATTTGACTTGGCTGAGGAACAAGATTTTGAATAATGATCCAGAAAGTAAGAGAAGGCAGAAGAAATGCTGAAGACAGAGGAAGCTTGCAAAGCTATTGACAAGTTGACTGGCTGTGAACACTTTAGTGTCCGTACGTCCCATTTCACATTTATTACAGCTGTATAAATTTTTCTTCCTTTCATTTGGTAAAGTATATATTTATAAAAGGCAAAGTGGAGAAAGGAAAGAATTTGAAGCTAAAAATGTAAAGATGACTGAATTTCTTTTTGTGTGTGTCTATAAATATAGTTTTCTTTCTTTCTTTCTTTTTTTCTTTTGGTTTATTAATGACTGAATTTCACTGACCAATCTTACAAGTCTTTTCTGCTACAATCTTGGCTGTTAATAAGAAAATATTGATAACTGAAATAGCTATTGAAGTTCAATTTAGTTCACTTCCTCACCTTTCTTCTCTCCCCAGTCACTCTAAAATTCTGGTTAAACAATTTTTTTTTCACATCTCTATATAGCTTCAACTACATAAATGTTCTGATGTTTCTTCAACAACCTATAGATCTCATCTGATATTCTCTTTCTTTAAAGCAGCAATAAAATACAATTCCTCTTAATACTGGCAGGAAACATTATGATGAGTCAGAAAGAAAATTCTGCTATGATCTGCAGACTCTTTATCCCACTGTCGTTATTAATAAGTGAAATCACTATTTTCTGCTTGATTACAGAATGTTTTCTTGTCTTTTATATTTTCATAACTATCCTTTATGAAATGGAGAAACAAAATCTAAGGTCTCAGAATCCCACTTTCAGCTGTCACTAACCGTGAAGTAATATCATCCCATTCTGTTTTATTTCTGAAGCAAATCCCCTCTACTCTCAGCCTCCTTTTTCTTCTTTCCCTCTGCATCAATTGCCCCTCCATGCACAACTGGTAGCCTAGGTGAGAAAGAGCTCAAATCACATTTTATAAATTGCAATGGGATATTTATATCATAACTGATGATCTTTATCCTGCATATAAAGTGGCTTTCCCAGCATAGACTTTCACCATGTGTGTGCATATATTCACATACACCATTAAAAAGGAGAATGAATACCTATAAAACTTAAGTACAAAATAAGTATACAATTTTCTTCTAAGTTTAGATATCATTACTTCCTGCCAATCAGAATATATGAATCTGATATCCCCAGAGGTGAAAGATATCCCAAAATCTTAACCAAGGGGTTTATATTGCAGACTTCTTAATACCTTGTATATGTTAGTTCAATGAGAGATACTAACAAAGGTAGTCATTCTGCAAATCTGTGATCTTGGTGAGGGGAAGGACTAGTTAAGCCCAGTTTTTCTTGCTGACCCCATTCCAATCCAACTTGCTACTCAGAACAACAAATTAACATTTATCCCATTGACAAGTAGAATGGTAGCATCTTCACACAACAGGATAACAATTAACAATGAATAAAATAAAAGAGTAAATAGGTAAAGAGCAAGCTAGAGAGTAACAGTGAGGGAGGGAGGGGGAGAGAGAGAGAGAAAGAGAGCAATATTTTGGCCATGGGCTTTAGTGGAAGTATAAAAATCTGTCAGGTAAGATAACATGCAACATATTCCAGAAGAGCCAGAAGAGCTGAGAGTAAGTGTATACATTTATTTTCTCTAAAATAGTTCTATTTTGAAATGATTTATATACTATAAAGTATAGCCACTTCAAGGGTACAAAGTATTAGTTTTTAGTGTGATTATAGAGATGTGCGACCATTACTATAATTTTTATCAAAAACTTCTAAAAGTTCTAGTTTTTATCCTCTAAAGAGATCTTGTATCCATTGGCAGACACTCACCATTTCTTTCCTTTTCTAAGACTTCTTCCTTTCTCCCATTAGAGTAATGGGCTAATCATTGATCTACTTTCTTTCTCTATAGATTTGCCTCTTGTGGGCATTTAATATAAATAGAACCATACATTATGTGGTCTTCTGTGACAGACTTGTTTCTCTTTGCTTAATGTTTTCAAGGTTCACCCTTGTTCTATCATACACAACATGTAAGAGGAATTCATTGAGTTTTACTGCTGAATAGGGTTGCATTATGTAAACATACTACTTTGTGTCTATCCATACATCAACTGATAGACACTTGAAAACTTTCCACTTTTTGGCTATGAGGAATAATGCTGCTATGAATATTTCTGTACATCCTTGTAAATGTATATATGTATGTTTTCTTTTCTCTTGGATAGTACTGCTAGACTATTTTCAAAGCAAACACACCCTTTCACATTGCCGTCAGTAATTTTCTCTATTTCCTTCCAAACACTTATAGACCTCTATCTTTTGGTTATTGCCATCCTAGTGAGTGTAAAGTGGTATCTTCTTGCAGTTTAGATTTGTGACTTCCTGACTATTAATGCTGTTAGGTATCTTTCCATGTGATTACTGATCATTTGTATATTGTCCTTTGAGAAATGACTATTGAAGTCTTTGTCCATTTTTAATTGTTTTTTGTTGTTGTTGAGTTGTAAGCATTTTTTAAATATTCTATATATTAGCCCTTTATCATACATCTGTTTTGAAAATATTTTCTCCTAGTCCTTATGTTGTATTTTCACTTTCTCGATTATGTCCTTTGATGAACGACTTTTTAAATGTTAATGAAGCTTAACGTATTTCTTTAGTCTCTTACCATTTGTGTCAAATATAAGTATCAATGCCATATTCAAGGTCATCATGATTTATCTCTGTGTTTATTGTTGAGTTTTGCAGTTTTAGTTCTTACATTTAGGACTGATCTATTTTGACTTAATTTTAGCATATGGTGCAAGGTATATGGGGTCCTAATTTATTCTTTTATATTTGGTGGCTATCCATCCAGTCATCTCAGCATCACATTTGTTGAAAAAGCTGGTCTTTTCTCCTTATTGAATGGACTTGGCACTATTGACCATGGGTATATTGGCTTATTTGTTGACTCACAGTTCTATTGCATTGATCTTTATGCCTATCCTTATGTCAGTACCACACTATTTATTACTAAAGCTTACGGTAAGTTTTGGAATCAGGAAATGTGAGTCTATCTTTCACTTTCTTTTTCAAGACAGTTTTGGTTATTCAGAGCCTCTTATATTTCCATGTGAAATTTAGGAATAGCTTTTTAATTTCTACAAAACAAATCATTAGGATTTCAATAGGGATTGTATTGTATCTGTAGAGATTGCTTTGGATAGTGTTGAGATCTTACCATTGTTAAGTTTAATCCACGAATATGGAAAGGCTTCCTGTTTACTTAAATCTCCTTTAATTTCTTCATTTTTTTCTTTTTGTCTTTTATGTTGCTGGAGATCAAACCCAGGGCATTGCACATGCTTAGCAAGTGTTCTACTGCTCTTCTACTAAGCTACATTCCCAGCCCTTGCTTATTTTGAAGCAGGGTTTCTCTGTGTAGTTCAGGCTGACCTCCAAATCACTATGTAGTCCAGACTGACCTTGAACTCTCAGTCCTTTCCTTGAACCTCCCGAGTGCTGATATTACAAATATGTACCTCCACACCTTGCTAGATCTTTAATTTTTCATCAGTGTCATACAGTTTTCAGTGTATAGTTTAGAATGCTCTTGAAGGCTAATGCATACACTCCATAAAACTATACAGTAATCATATTACCTTCTGAGGGGCATCAAATCATAACGAAGTAACTTTTCTAAAAATTTCCTGTTTATACTCTTGCACTGCAGTTGTGACATTTTCAATAACAAGTAAACGCATTTAAGTGTTCTTGTTAATTTTGTGGCATTGTTACTTCTTTGTATTTTATCATTGTAGTCCAACATGAAGAAACAACATACATTGCAATTGCTTTGAAATCATCAATTCACCTTTTTGCATGGGCACCAAAGTCCTTTGATGAAAGCACTGCTATTAAAGTGAGTGATCTTTTCTTTAGATCATACTATATTTCTTTTAGGAAGAAATTGTAAACAAAGCAGTATTTTGGAATACAAAAATGGAAATACGTACTATTCTTCTGCAGTTAATGCTATTTGAATATATCATGTCAATAATTACCATTTAACCATGTTTTAGACAATCCACAAGCACCACAGCAAGGGAGACTGTGAGGGAAATCCCTGACCCCTCCCCTTGCAGGATGTCCCCTCCAGTTTCTCACTCCCATTTCCTGTAGTTAACACGAGACCTTCTCTTCTGAAGGTCCAAACACAGACTTTAGGTGCCACCCCAGTGATTAAAGCTGAGAAAGTCCCTCTTCTCTCTTAGTGAGGGGTGGAGAGCAGAGGGAAGATAAGGAGAGATGTGGAAATGGTAGCAGGAACCCCAATGGAAGGAGGGAAGAGAAAACCTTTCCTCCAATTACTATTGCTGCATAGGTATGTGTGGGGAGGAAAGAGAAAATCTACATTCTTTCCAAGCCAAAATTCTGAACACATTTTTCTGAAGCACTATTGTGAGGCATGGTGATTAGGCTTGCAGGTGTTCTTTCTAACTTTATTATGGTTAACTGAACTTGCGTGTATCAGCCATGGAAGTTAATCATTTCAAAGTGTCCCAAACAAGCTCCTGTTGATTTTTTTAATCACATCCCATAAACTGAGGACTGTAAGTAACTTACATATAATACCCCAAATTCCACTTAAATAGAGTCATTTTTTTATTTATTCCATTGTAATGAGGTCCAACTAATGAAGTAGCAGCATTCTATCAAGTCAAATAGTTTCTTAACCTGAGATGTGCGTCAGAATCGGCTTGAGCATTTGTTAAATGTTTAGATCTCAGGCTGAACCCCAGGCTGAATTCGTGGGTCTGGAGTGGGGCCTGGGAATCTCTATTTTTAGCAAATGTTCCATATAATATTGAATCAGTTGGTTCACGGACAGATTTTTACAAAGCATTCATAGGGACACGTCTTGATAGACCTTAGCAAGGTATTTATAAAATACTTCTTTATCTGTTTACATGCTCTATTTTGTAGACCAAAATGTATAAAATAAACATGGGATAATTCTTATGACTGTACTAAGGACTATTTGCACAATAGCTATGTTCCTTTACAAATAGAACAGAATATTATATAGACAGTCTGGGTCTGCCCTAATACAAATCATATCCCTAATCTGATCTCCCTAAATTGGGCATTGGCTCAGCTGTAAGTATTTAGATATGGGTTTGTTCTTGGGTGTCTGCTGATTGGTCAGAGCTACCTGGTATGGAATTGGAAAAAAAAGGATATAAGTATCTGTCTAGCCTAATACACAGTTCCTGTCCAAGTCATCATTCTAGTTCTTGAGTCCCAATTCATGACTACAGTATGGCAAATGATGTGATGCTTAATCCTCCACCATGACCTGATCTTGGCAATGAATCCTGTTTGTCCTTTTGTTTCCTTGGACTAGAAATCAAAGGAGCTTAGAGTATACCAATTCTATGGTAGGTTAACATGTCTGACCTTTTTCATTCCTCACCAAGTATGCATTGATCAGTCAGCAGACTCCGAAGGAGACTATATGTCCTATGAAGCCTATATACGAATACTGGCAAAAATACAGGCAGCTGATCCAGCGAACCGGTTTAAGAGACCAGATGAGCTCCTTCATTTGCTGAAGCTCAAGGCAAGGAATTTAAAGGCAGCCAAAGAGTGCAGGGTCACAGGAAGCCCTTATGATCATTGGCAATTTAATCTTTCAAGAGAAACAATATTTCAAACCTAAATATGGTTGTATATTTCTTATAGTAACAGACCTAAGAAAAGCTCTACATATGGATCTCTAAATACAATATGCCATTTAAAAGTTCACCTGAGTTTTATGAACTTATAAACCTGACAAGATAATACTGGAATTTTTTTCCTTAGTCAGAATGTCATTTTGGCCTTTTGTCCATATTTGGTTTTATATTTGCAGGTATTTCCAACTCTTGGTCATAAGCCAGTGACAGTTGACCTAGCTGTTGGTTCTGAGAAAACACTAAAGATTTTCTTCAGCTCAGCAGATGGATATCACATCATCGATGCAGAATCTGAAGTTATGTCTGATGTGAACTTGCCAAATAACGTAAGATAATACCTTCAAATCCCTAGAAATTATGTTTAACACTTTGAATTTTTCCAAGTATCGAAAACTTGAAAGGTTTAAAACTATAAGTAGCAATACCTGTACTGGAATTGAGACCTAAAAGGTAAGTATAGGGTACCAGAAAGTGGTCACACATAAACAGTAATTACTAATGGTTTCTTAGTACAAATAGCTGACTTTATTTGTGCTTTGATTTGTTTTAAATGAAGTTGACATTTAAAATCTGGACTTCTACTGATAAACAAGAAAATCTGACATCCTCCAGTCCAGTCCACATTACTATCTGGCCATTATCAACTGGAATTGATTTGTATGTGCCCCTCCATTAGATGGGATATATGTTCTACATTTTCTGCACATCCATCTATGTGCACTTATAATAATTGATTCTAGTAGGCATATGAATTTGCAGTCCTTGCTTTTGTCCTCCTGTACCCCATAATACATTAAGAGCTATTTTAAAATGCAATAGCAGCATTGCAACATTTTTATGGGTACCCTTTTTCTTTATTGTATTACTTTAACTGTAAGATATAGCAAATTATCATAAAATGTTCTCTTATCATATTAATTATAGTTGCAGTTTATGGTTAAACGATTCAGCATTTTAAAAGCAAATGCATCTCAACTCCTAACTCTTAAGTAACTATAAATACTGAAAATGTGCACAGAATTAAACTATGGAGAGTTGTAAAATATTATACACATCATTTTTATTAAAAGCTTAAACATAGAATAATATGCATCATATATCACAAAAATATAATTATGTAGCTCAGATTTGAAGGTGTCAATGATGATTGTCCTGCCTGAACCAACAGTTCTCTGCTTCACCCTTTTTTGATTCAAGTTTGTAGACAGTTAAGATTTTAACAGCTTATCATTATGTTAAAATCCTTCAAGAAAATATTCATGTACTTTTAAATCACTGTAGTCATGTGATATTTTTAAGTATGAAATTTTTTATTAGGATATATTCTTTATATAAGGGGGGATTCATAGGAACAATTCCATTAGGCTTATATTGTACATTTGTTATATTACCCCCATCATTTCTCTCCCTCAACCTCCTCCCTGCCCTACTTAAAGCAATTTTACAAGTGGATTCTTTGTTCTAATTCATATAAGTATATGCAGTCAATCAACCATACAACCTCACTTTAATTTCCTTTATTAACCCTCTCCCCTTCCCACTGATACTCTCCCCCCACTGTACCTATTTTACCTTTCTGTCTTTCATTATTAATAATTAAGTCGATGTTCAAAGGGGTTTCTCAATGTATCCCCACTGTGGGTATACTTTACTTTGGTCTGTTCAACCCTTTCCATTACTCTCCCTTACCCCTTTACCTGTGAGATATTTTGAATAGCTTTCAGAATTATGCATCTCTAATAAATTGATTAGAACAATTACATAGTGCAATCATCAGACCATTAGTAAAAACATCTTTAAAAAGTATTTTGGTGATATTAACAATCATTAGCTGATCACCCAATGATTATCTTTGATTATCTATAACTCACTGTATTTATAATGTAGAAAATGCTGAACCAATCCAAGGCAAAACCACAGCATAATTTTGATATGCAGACTAAATTATTCTTCAGTTACCTTCCATAGCTTCCTGCATCTTATTTTTATTTCATATCAGATAGCCTTTCTTTAGATGCCAGTACAATATCGAACATTTAAGCATTGGTCCTAGTGACACTTATTTGAAAAGCCAAAGCCATTGAAGAAGTTTGGACTCAGTGTTCCACCTGACTAAATAGCAAGAAAAATTATTTCCATAAAAAACAATCTGTTAATTACTGTGGGAGCAGAATGAAAGAAGATGAGCTTTTAAAAATCATTTTCTGACCTAATTAGGATAACTTCTGTATATTCAAAAATATTTTAGCTAAATGCCCTAGTGCCTTGACCCATTAAAAGAGAAAGTGCTCTAATATAAGAGAGGGGAGGGTGTCTTCTGAAACAGAATGTACTAAAGATAATATTTTTCCAAGAGTGCTAGATTGCAAACTCTGTAATGCTACAAGGGAACTACATGTGATAAAGAATATCTGGTTACTTCAGGAATCATCTAAGAAGCAAGAGAATTACCTCAGAGGCCGCTTGGATTTGCAGCAGTCGAGTTTTATTACTAACAGATTTTATTTGGACAACCTTATTTCTTGCAATTTCTTTTATTCTCTTCCTTCATCTCTTTCCTGATTGAATTGCTCATGCAAGTGCCCAGGGAACGCATTAAAATTGCTTTTCGCCTCTGGATTCCCATTTTAGTTTTAAGGATTGTTGTTGCTGACACATGGCCTCAAGCACTTGGCCTGAGTACGCTGGCTCTGGCAAGTATAGTTTCTGACCTTTTTTTCTGTAACTTGCTTATTTGGAGAACTAATAGAGGAACACAATTGTTTATTTCTCAGGGAAGTACTATTAAAGTGACAATATCTGTACTTTAAGCAAATTTTATCACATTTTATGCATTATGAAATTTAGAAATGCTTAGGTATTTCTTAATATTTCCTATTACATCACCTAGTGTGTCTCTAAATTTGAGTATTGAATGTATTTTAATAGTATAAAAATTAGATAAGAAATTCTACCTGTTTTTTGCAAAAGGGAGATAACTACTATTATTCAATGAGTGAAGAATATTATAAAGTTTCCCATTGTATGAATTTTGAGCCCAAGCTATCTTTAGATTAATATTCTGTTTTTGATTTTAATGAATTTGCTAATAAGAAAGTGTTGTGTATTTGTTACTTGGTTTATACATTCTTTACCAAGGAATTCATTAATTGCTGAAATTAATTTTAAATCCACATCTGTAACAAGTAATGTTTCTCCCATCATTATGCATAATACTCTATGGAATTTGAATTTCAAGAATTTTTCTGTGTTGGAACTATATCTCTACTTTTTTTAGCCTAGTCTTTTCCCTAGATGTAAAAGATAATATTAAACAGTAATGGTTTTATGACATAAGGAAAACAGCCCTTTTCGATAGTAGGATAGCATTCTTTTTAATTTGGAAATAGAAGTTACCTTCCTTCCTGCGCTTTGAACCTCTTTTGGTCCTTATTGATCAGCCAGACCACTTCAATTAAAGTGGTAGTGACAAAATGTTGGACATATAAATCCCTATGAAACATAATTCCAGCCCCTGGAAATCATTGTACCACAGAATATCATCATTTTACCTGATTGCTTGGGGATTGGCCTGATGCTTACCTTCAATGCTGAAGCTCTGTCTGTGGAAGCAAATGAACAACTCTTCAAGAAGATCCTTGAAGTGTGCAAAGATATACCATCTTGTGTAGGTATGTATAAATTTTTTACTCTTTGAGATAATCCCAGAGAAGCTTGTGAAGAATAAACATATGTCCCAAGTAAAGTTTCCTGAATTATTTCATGTTCTTAAGGCACAGAGGGTTAATTTGGAGTCCTGGGCACTTATTTTCTTAGTAAGGTGAAACAAATGCTTGTTTGTGTGCTTATTAAATTCATGAGAGTACTACAAGGAGCTGATTTTGGTTATCTGAGTTGTTCATTTGAAATAATTATATAATTGAAATATGAATTATTTCCCTTCCATAATAATCTTTAATTTTACCTTAACTCCTTTTGCTTATAGATTTCACACTGATGATGAAAATGCTTCTTTCCATCACATTCATTTTTCGAGTTTTCTTTTATCTTAGGAGGCTGCCAAACAGTCATAAAAGAAGAGCACGATATTTCTATTTCATATAATCAATAATATTTTGCATGAGTGGTATTCCTATGAAGAAGCAAATCATTTAGAAAAAAAAGATGTATATGACTGACTAGAATGTCTATTAAATACCAAGCAGAAGACAACATAAAGAAAACTGCCTTTTTACCTCTTTCAAACCATGACATTGGTTTCTTCCTAAGCAATGCAGAATTGCTGAACTAGGAAATACAAACAGTTTTAGATTCTTGTGTTTGTTTCTAAGGCTTGATGTCTGAATACAGGGGCAATTGTAGACACATAGGAAAATATTAAAGAAGGTAGAATGATTAAGTGGAGGATAATTCCTGAAAAGAAGAGAGGCTTAATGGAGCAAATAAAGGAGAAAGGCAAGGCAACTGTGTGTGTGTGTGTGTGTGTGTGTGTGTGTGTGTGTGTCTGTGTCTGTGTGTGTGTGTGTCTGTGTCTGGATAGAGAGGGAGCGGGGAGAGAGAGAGAGAGAGAGGCCCAGAGAGAAACAGATGGAAGGAGAGAGAAAGGTAATTCATCAAGAGAGAAGCCAGGAGCACCAAAAATCTCTATAAAATGGCTAAAAGTAACCCCTATGTTATTTTAAGGACCAGTTTGAGATAACTGATTTTTAATGGACATTTTTTTCTATGGAATGATAGCACTTTGCATTGCATGTGCAGTATTCTTTATTTTTGCACAAGTAGTCAGTGTTAAGAATTGTACTAAAAACCTGCTCGAATTTCATCAAACAGGAAGAACTCACAGAGGGTTTAAAGCCATTCAAAGTGACAGAAAATAAATGTTTGTGGTAAAATTGACAGATCTAGGGCAAAACAAAATAAAAATTATGAAGCATTTTATATCCTTTACAAGGGTACTTTTGTGATCAATGTGTTAATAAGAAATGGACTAAGGATATTCAATTCAGATGAGAAACTGAGCATATGCCTATGTTTATGTCACTAGACAATCATAGGAATCACAGAGATCTTGAAAAGTCATCTTGCATAGCTCTTGTCCTTAGGCAGGACAATTTATATCATAGAATACAAATCTGTTTTAAGTTGTCAGAATCTGAAAGACATGTAGGTATAAAATACATAATAGTAGAAAAAGAACATGATGCATTTTTAAATTATTTTTATTAATGTATAAATAATATACACAATTAGTGTACAAAGTGATTGGTTTCATTATCATTATGATATTTCCATACATGCATATAATGTTTGACCAGATTCACCCAATTATTCTTTCTTATACCCCTTTCCCATCTTCCCTTTTAAAATCTTTCTTGCAAAAATTTTAAAGGGTTTCATTAAGACTTTTTTATAATGTGCATACATTGCACCTTGACCACATTAATTGAGAGTATACTAAAATATAACACTGATAGTAAGGAAATCAATACTCTAATTTTCTGTCTAAAAATAACTTTGTTATTTAAAACCAGCCCAGATCACGATTTTCCAAATCTAAATTTTATATTTCCTTGAGCTATGATAAACTTTTTCAATAATATGATTATTGTTTTTCATTTCCAAATAAATATGTAGAACCTTAACAATTGCAGAGTTTTACCATGTATTCCCATTTCAAAATCACCGAGTTTCAGAAAGCAAACTAGCTCAGTAACTAGTGGCAGGTTTGTATGCTTCAGGACCTAAAGGAAGAGAGTATGTGCTACCATGTAAACTAAGTATTTGTATTCAGCATATTACCCATGCATTAAACTTGGACAGCTTTGCTCTGTGTAGTCATTGACAAAAATACTTTTTTGGGCTTTTGCTTGCTTGTTTGTGTCAGCAGGATCGGGGTATACAGTCCAGACTGACCTGGAACTCTCTCTGTATCCCAAACAGGCCACAAATTCATGATCCTCCTACTGCAGCTGGGATCATAGGTGTGTGCTACCACACCTGACCAAAACTTCTATTTTTAATGAAGTTATCACACTGGTGACAACTTCAAACCACCTTGTTCTTATCAGTGAAGCCAATGATGTTCCTCATTTCCTTGTATTATCCGGAGTGATTTTAATTCTGGTCTGAAATTGGACTTATGAAGTTCTTTCAGGGTCTCCATTTTTCTGATCCAAAATATAATTGTAATTTAACAATTTTAGTCTTGATTTCATATATGGAAGTAATTTGAATTGTAATGGAAGAGAAGTAGGCAAAATAAATGTTTCATAATTATTATTGGAGGGGTACATTGCTCACATTATACTTGTGAAAGTCACTTTTATAAAAGTTTAATAATTCAGGGCTAGGGACTAGCTCAAGTGGTAGACCACTTGCTAGTGTGAGGCCCTGAGTTCAATACTCAGTACCACAAAACAAAATGTTGAATAATTCCTTCATAAGTACTTTTATGTATATTTAATGTATACATATACAGGCTAGGTATATTTTGATTTAAACAAAGGCATCCCAAAATCTTTGAGAAAGATGAGGAAAAATTTAAGGGCTTATGTTGTAATTACTTCAATGCAGAGTTTTTTTCCTTCAAAATAGAAGAAAATGGAAAGTCAAACTAATTCTGATTTTCACCATGCTAATATAGAAACAAGAGTACCTTATCTTGGTTCTTTCTAGACTATTTTACTTTGAGTTAAAGTCTTGATATTATTTTAAATGCTCTGATTTAGTTTATTTATGGAAATTTACTTCCCTATAGAATACATAAAGAATAGTAACTTGAAAGTTAAAAATTAATGTTAAGAATGCTCCTTATGACAGAAAGTATCTTATAACACTAGCTGACAATAGGGTTATTTATACAATGAGGTTTTCTGTTTTAAGGCAATATTTTTCATAGTCTGTGTTGTCACAAAGTATTATAAAACAGGACTACAAAGTTAACATTTTAATAAAATTTTCCTTAGCAGGAAAAAGCCTTAACAAGATCCAATTAGCCTTAGTTCTGCTTATAACATGGTAATTTATTCAGTTGCATTAGGTTTACTATAGTCATTATTTGAACAAGTCATTTTGTAACAACAGTTTTAGTTTTTAAGAGTCAGGTTTCCATGTATGACACATCAACACAAATACAAACCTTTATTAGAAACTCTTATTAGTATCTGAGGTCACACTATACCTTACCTATACCTAATACAAGGCACTACAATACTATGAAAAACAGGTCATGTAAGGGGAGGTCACATACAAGAGGGGTAGGGTAAAAGAAGGAAGTTGAGAAGGTGAATATGGTTGATATACTCTCTATAAAAGAATGAGTATAGATTTTTAAACCAGTTGAAACCACCATAAGAAAGGGACTAAGGTAGAAAGAAGAAAAATAGAAGAGATGAACCAAATCAGGCTATTATATATACATATATATGGAAGTGCCACAAGAAACTCCATGTGTAGCTATTTTAAACAAACAAAAATGTCATTTTCTTCTTCTTCTTTTTTTCTTATACAAAATCAGAGAACAGGAGGGCAGAACATGTCTTGCCTGGGGGGGTGTTGTACCAGTGAGAGAGGGAGAAGATGTGAGGAAATGGTGAAAGAAGGTGAATATGGTGCAAATGCTGTATACACATGTATGTAAATGGAAAAATTATATCTGTTGAAACTATTCCAGGAATGAGGGGAAGGGGGAATGAAGGAGAATGGTAGAGGGGTGAATTCAAGTATGATATATTTGATATATCCACAATGTACCCTCACCCAGCACAACAATAGCAAAAAAGAACAGTTGTAAATAAATTTGAATATCTACAAATAGGATAGAATTAACCTTTGACTTTTTCTGTGGTCTCAGAGAATATGAATGAATACAAGAATTAATGGATATGTAGTAAATCAATATTGGTTACAATGTTGCCTTTAGATAGCTGGTTTGAACACCACTCCAGAGCAGCTAGATGGCCAAATGACTGTAGAAGGAGGGGAAACAAGGAAGGGTTCACCTAAAGATCAACAATGAGCCTCTTAATAATCAAATGTTGACCATGTTTCTAATTTTCTATTTTTGCCGGAAAGATGTTGTGTTTTTCTGATTTTTTTCATTTGCACTGTAGCTTTTGAGTGTACACAGAGAACCACAGGATGGGGCCAGAAGGCCATTGAAGCACGATCTTTGCAATCAAGCGTTCTAGAAAATGAGCTGAAGCACAGGACAATCAAGAAGCTGAGATTTCTGTGTACCAGAGGTGACAAGGTATAGTTTCTACCCTTAGGTTAGAGCAAAAATTAAGCAAGCATTAAATTAACTAAAGAAATGTATGTCATTTTCCTTCTGCCCATAAATATATTTATACTATATTCTTCAAATTGGTATACTATTAATATAAACGATTTTCCATTTTTCAGTAGGAACATTGGTAAATGATGAAACTTTGTTTCAAAATAACCTCATTTTCAAAAAGAGTTTAAAAAACTCTAGTTATGTGTTTTTTTTAAAAACACTATTACCGTAAGTTACTTGTACAAAGGGGTTTCACTGTGGTATTTACATACATGCATATAACGTATTCTGATCAAATTTACACTATCTATATTACTCTTTCTTAATGCCCCTAACACCTCTTTTTAACAGTTTCTACTGGGGTTCACTATGAAACTATCTTCATACATGTATATAAAGTACTTCTATCATATGTACTTCCATTTCCCTCTCCTTCTCACTGTCTTCACCCCAAGAATTCCTCCCCTTTTTATAATCATTTCATATTATTATTATTATTATATCTGAATTATGAGTATGAGTGAAACATGTGATGTTTGTCTTTCTGAGCTTGGTTTATCTTGCTCAACATAATGAACTCTAGTCCCATTTATTTTCTTGAAAATGACACAAAGTAATGTAGTTATGTTTTAAGTAAAACTTTGACATGTGATTTGGTACAAATTTCTTTATTTTCTTTGATCTATAGTTTTTTTAATATTTATAATGAAATGATATTTTATACAAAATTGGTTGAGAAAATCTGTCTTTTAAAATGTTTCATGTTTTTGTTAACATATATTAATTACATATAGTGATGGGTTCCATGTGATATTTCAACACATGCATACAGTGTACACTGATCAAGTCCAACTTCTCTTTATCCTTAACCCTCACCACACATCTCCTAACCTCTAATAATAACTATTCTACATTGAAATCACCCTTTTTTGCTTCCCCATATTAAAGAAAACATACAGTACTTATCTTTCTGTATGGCTTTATTTCACTTAATATAATGTTTCCCAGTTCCATCAATTTCTCTGAAAATTATAGGATTTCATTTTCTATGGCTGAATGATATTCAATCTTGTATATGTACCACATACTTTTAACCAATTATTAGTGAATGAGTACCTAAAGCTAATTCCAAAGTAATTGTGAATCATACTGCAATAAACATGGATGTGCAGGTATTTTTTTGGCACTCTGACTGTATTTCCTTTAGTTATATCAAAAAGTAAGACAACTAGATCATATGGTAAATCTGTTTTTAATTTTTTTTGAGAATCTTCGATTATGTTCTCCATAGTGGCTACACCAATAGTATATGAGAGTTTCTCTTTCTCCACATCCTCAACAGCAATGTTTTTTATTTGTTTGTTTTCCGTTTTGGCAAATCTGTTTTCACAATTTTCAATATAGTCCAGTAATGGAAGAAGGAATTGTACTTATGCTTACTGAGCATGTAATTATGCAACAGGCTTTGTGCTTGGTAATTTAAGTTTTCTCATTTTATCATCACAAGTATATACTATAATAATTATTTTGCAGGAAAGAAAAAATAAAATTGAGATTTGTCAATTATTTGTATAATTCGGTCAATTTCAACAACTATTTCAGATAGCTAGGTAGAAAGGTTCATCACATAAAATCATTACTATTCCTACATATTATGAGAAATAATATTGTGAAAATAATCTTAATAGGAATAAGAAACATTAGAAAATATTGCAGAGGATTCAGATTAATATGAAAGCAACAACCAGGGCAAAGCACTATACATCAAGTGTGGGTGCCAGTTTTCAATGTAAAGAGATACAATTACCAAACCAGTGTTTGAGGTCAGATAGACATGGGATACAGTGCTAGCTCTGCAACCTAACCATGTGTGAGAACCTGAGAAGTTTGATTGATCTTTCTGAGCTTTATTTCTTTCATCTCCAAAATGGCAGTATTAAAAACTGGTTTGGGAACAAGTGTGAAAATTCATGTAATGTATAGATAGTAAGCATCTCACACATTGACATATAAGATGTGTTAAGTCAAGTGTAGCTAGTTTACCTACATTCGTCATTATTCTCAAATCATCCTAAATTTAAGCATGGTGGATGTCAAAGAACTTACTCCTAACAAGAAAGCCTCTGTTTCATATTTATGCCTCAGTTCTGTCTGAATTTTCTTTATGGAACAGCTGGTGTTTACACAACATATCCCTCTCTAGCATTAGGTTTAGCTCACTATATCAATCTATTGATGTCAGTGCATTACACTGAAATAGAAAATTATACTTGGTAGAAAATTTCAGTGGCTTCTTGAACATCAGCAGCAATAGTAAACAACATCAAAATAATTGTTTCCTTCTATTAAAAGGAAAGTCAACTTGAATAAAAGTGGATTTTTAAAGCAAAGAATTGTTAATCAAAACTAATTAAGAACTTTGGCAGACAAATGCTGCCTAAATAAAAACTAATTTAATTATATTATGTGAATGGTAATTATATAGAATATAATAAGAGGGGTTTTTAAATATATAATTTAAACTCTCCACTAATTTAAATTATTATGCTTTACTTTGAAGAGCACCTATTCCAATGGCTTAATATTTTAATTAGCAGAAGCAGGTAAATAGAAATTATTGTTGTATACTAGTACCCAACACTTTTCTCATTAGATCTGGTTGTAGCGTATTGAGTATCTATTGATGGTGTCTTTCTCTTTCTTTTTAAAGCTGTTCTTTACCTCTACCCTGCGTAATCGCCACAGCAGAGTTTACTTTATGACCCTTGGAAAACTTGAAGAGCTTCAAAGCAACTATGGTGTTTAAAAGGCTCTAATGATTTGTTACAACATTTACAAATATCATATATATGCATTTGTATCTCCAGATTTTTGAGATTAAATGAGCATTACATTTTATTGTTAGAGGAAAAATTAAATCAGAAACTTAACTTTTAATGTAGCACAGAATAGTTTTAATAAGAAATGCAGCTTTATATATAAAATTAACTATAGCAAGCTCTATGTACTCCAATGGTGTACAATATCTTTTGCACAAACTTTGTAACTTCTGTTACTGTGAATTCAAACATTACTCGTAAGACAGTTTGGACAGTACCTGTATTCACATTTACAATATGAAGTAAAGAAACCTGAATTACATTACGACTTTCAAATGAATTGGCCCTCAATAGGATTTTTTCTGAGAAAAAAACATTAATAAAGTGTAAGTGATTTTTTTCAAAAAAACAAAGGTTAGGTCATAAACAAAATATTATAATGGCTATGTTATAATCCAGACTAAGGTTGAACAACCTGCATGCACAAAGAAAATTATAGTGATAAAGGGGAAAATGCCATTCATTTCCTCATAAGTGAGCCCACAGTTGGAGACCAGTTGTATTTTTTGTGCCCTTGTTAAGCTGGTTTTCTCCCTATGAGATGAAAGGAAGGAAGCTTCAGGTGCTTGGTTTTCTTGGAACTCCTCACAATGTGCAATAGCTATTTTTACAAACCATCAAATAATACACTTGCAAGCCTGAATACAGGACTAAGTTCCAATACACATGTACTGTAGAAAGAGGGTTTTATTAAAAAACATTTTAAGTAGGCGTCAAATTCTGTGACTAAGATTAGATGATCTTTTGAAATTATCTGGCCAATAGTATGACTACCAGACAACACCAAATATTTACCCAATTCTTGGTTAAACTATTTAAAAATTTCCCACTAGTTATTAATCAAAATAAAAACAAAAGCAAAAAATAACAACAAAAAGCTTAAATAGCTAGTACTTATAGTTTTGTTTCTATTGCTATAAAAGCAGAAATTAATTGAAAATCCCTTCAGTGATAATTCCATAAGCAGACTTAATGCTATAGGTAAAGAAATGAGTAGTTTGAAAAAATACGACCTTTAACTTATATCTAAGTCTGCAGAATTAGAATAATGAAAGTCATGGCAGCCCATCACCCAGTCATGTTACAGACGCCACAGATAGGTGATGTTCGGTCACATATGGCAACTGCTACCTGGTAAAAAGCATAATTAATGCATATCCATCCTCAATGCTATGGTTAGTTCTGGGGCAAGAAGTAACCGTACTACCACAAAGTATACCTCATAATAATTCCTCTAGTTCTGCTTCTGAAATCTGAAGACAGTGCTAGTGGGGCAATAATTTTTAAACTACCTGGTTAACCAAAATATAAAGCAGCTGACTATGTGTGATTTCATGATAACACATCATTTCTTGGCACATTGGTGCCAGAAATGAAGATTTGGATTTTCCTAACAACTTTTATGAAGAGTGTAGTAGCTCAATGTTGAGAATGTAGGAGAACCTGAATCCATGAATTAAAGAAATAAATGGGATTCACATTTCTGTTACTGTGACACAATAATGTGATTCTAAAACTGGCTTATCTTTGAGTGTTTACAACTCAAATTACTTTTTAAATGCAGTAGTTTTGAAAAGAAAACAAACTTTATGTCAAAATATTTCCTTAGAAGTAGTCTTCAATATTATAAATGTGTACACCTAAAAGCCATGGGGAACTTTACGTGAGTGCCTCATTGCTGAGCAAATGGAGCTTGCTATGTTTGAATTTCAGAAAATTTTCTCATTTAGGTAGTATATAGAAACAAGTCTTTTAAGAATTCACTTTTTCTTAATAATATTTACTCAAAGTTAAGCTAAAAATAAGTTTTATCTTTAAATCATATTTTAAAAGAAGTAAAACAGTAAAAACTATTTTAAGAAGTCAACTCCTATTGTGCTGTGTGGCAGTTATTCCAATAAACATAGGCAATAGTGAACAGAATCTACAAGATATCCCAAAGTAACCACACAAGAAAGATTATAAATGTGTAACTGAATTTTAAAGGATGAGGTGTTAATAAAGAAAGGAAGCTGGGCACATAGCACAAAGGGAGATTGGAATGTTCAGCAGCCAAATAGAAAAGACTGAAAATATTTGATGTGGTTCCTAGGTAATAAACATTTCTAATATAGGTATAAATTCATCTAGAATCTTTACATACTTTTCCAGCTAAAACAAGAAAGTGAAGGGACAATGAAATTTCATGTCCTTTCAGTGTACTTTTTAATCGACAGAAGAAATTATATTTAAACTTCACTTTGTAGCAACAGCACCTGGAAGCCTCAGCCCATCACAGAAGTGTGTAAGAGGACTCCTGTAAAGCCAGTTTCCCTAGTCCTCTCATTTGAAGCATGAGGTTCTAGATGATTGTGAGGAGCACTAGTGTTAGAGGGTGGTTTTATTTTAGTGCAATTTAGTTTTATTTCAATAACACCATTTTCCAAAATAAAAGGCATTATTGGAAATATTTGAAAACTAGAAAACGTTGGCTAAATAGGGCTGATCAGAAAATTTCTGAGGGTTGAGTCAGTTAAAGTAAGGTGAGAGCTTCAGAGAAAACTGCAGGAATAATCATTAAGATGGTAAAACAGGCAAAGCAGAACCACACGCTCTCTTTCACACATACACACACACATACACACACACTTCAATATTTTCAGTATTACCAGTATTGAGATAGAGAGATTACTAAGTATTTTCTGCCAAGAATCATTTCTTGAGACTGTATCCATAAAACGAACAATAATGCCACACACATTCAATAGGATCTTTTAAGTATTCTTCAATTTGTATTCAATTTGTACTCTACAAATATTGAAACAATCTTTGAGACTGCTAATTGTTTCATCAGAAACTCTGTAATGAATAAGTTCAATATCTGCAAATAAAATTTTCAAAATTATTCATTGTGTCATTATTGAAATGTAATTGCATAATGTCATGGAATTATGACTCATTAAAGGAAATTTTATTTTTTAATTATGTAATTATGCACTGAATAGAAGATGTTAGGACTCTGTCTGTTGTTGTATTAGGAATTCTGGCCAAAGAAGTTTATGTTAATTTGATAAAAGATCTTTCTTGTCTACAGTGGTGAAGTTAGAAACTGACAATGTTTCTAATTATATGAGACTTTACACATAGGCACAAACATGGTATGGGTAAAACTCAAGCAAATTTTAATGCTTCCTTCCCTCCCATTTCATTCCAGTATCTTTAAGTCTAGTGGAAAAGAAAGAGGAAGAACCCAATCCAAAGAGAGGAATAAATATGTATAATTTCTTAGCATTTAAGAAAGTGTTTAGTTCAGGCTGATAGTAGAAAACAAAAGATATGATTGTGCATGAAGTTGCTTCCTTCCTTTGGGACCAGAAGAACAGTACTTTTCTCAGCAGGAAGTATTAGAGGAATGGTTCCATGTACTTCCTGTCATCTCAGGACATTCTAGAGAGATGTCCAGCAGGATTTCCCATTCAAGCCTGCTGAGTGTGTTCTTAATTTGTTAAGTATGGCCAGGCATTCAGGAGTTAGGCTACCTGGACAAATCAAATCTCCATAGGCTCTTACAGGCTAAATTTAAAATGCTACATTACTAACAAATTGATTCATTCAATTTTAGTCATAGGGTCCAATGACTTCAACTACTTTTAAAAGACAGTGTTATGAGCCCAGGATAAAATTATCATCACAAATTATAGTTAGCTGGGACAGAGTGAAGCCGCAAGGTGAGAGAGATCCTTATCCTGGGAACCCATTACCAAAGCACAGGACAGGATATGCCATAAGAAGAAGTCATTAGCAATTAGCAACTTTATCATTCACAAAGGGAGCAGTGAAATTACAAATTTCAATGCGGAAAATCTACTGACTGAATATTTTTCCAACACTGATTTCTAATCTAGCAGCATTTTTATTATTTAAAAGGCCTTTCCCCTTCACTTAAGGTATACTCAAGTCCTGATGATAATAAAGCTATTATTCCTCTTTAACTCCAATGGTGATGCCTAATGAATTAAAGACAAACATGTTTCAGAAATCACTGCCATATGTCATGTTTTATATTGTTCAAAACCATATCAACTAATTCAAAATATATGAAAATGTCACAACAATCCTCCCTGTATAACTATCATATACTAATACACATGTTTAAATTAAAAAATAGTTCCAAAGGGAGCAAAATTGAATCTATATGGACTTACATTTTTAAAAGCTGGTTCCTAGCCAAGACTGTAGTTATATACAAAATCAGGTTGAGGATTAGCTCTTTCTTATAGCTTTGCCAGCCCATATGCCAAAGGGTCTCATGTGGTGCTTAACGTAGAAAAAAAATGTTCAATAAGAACCATGAGCTACAGGGGAGAAACTGGGATCTTCTGTTGAACTAGATTGTCCTTCATGTTATTTTATTTACAACCACTTAAAATTCACAATTATATTTGTTATCTCATGAAAGTGTCATCTGTATTCTGTTGATTAAGGTATCATGGCATATTTTGGGTAATTTCAAAAAATTTTGCCTCACAAATCTGAAATAAAAGACAGCTCAACATAACAATTCTGTCTTTAATTTTTTATGTAGTTGCTTTTAAAAGAAACACAAAAGAATTCACTATGAGACTTTAGTAATTATTCAAGACTCATGAGTAATGAGAAAGATTGTTTAGTAATATAAAAATACCACAAAAGTAAGCTACTCAACTATTTCGTGCAAAGATTTGGTTTGAATGTGATCCTTTTTCATATTAATTCTGTTATAGCATCCTGAGATATATTTAGGAGTCTTCAAAGCTTTACAATATACTTTTTCATCCAAAAATGTTAAATTATACTCCCCTAAACAAATGCATCCCAAGCATTAATTGAAAGCACTTTTCTAGCAGATAAAAGTATCTCACTTGCAGGTTTGCAGGTAGCCATTAAAATGTATGTGAAATGGGAACAT